TAAAAATTACACGAAAGAGAAGCATAGGAAGAAATACATAGACGGGATAAATAAACAACAGTGTAAAAATCAGAATAGAGGTCACAATTTTGAGACAGACGTAAGTTGTATTTTTAATTAAGTCATCCAAAATAGCGTTTAATTTAAACTTTTTCAAGAGTAACCCGCACGCAAACGTCAGTGCGTCGTGAACAAGTAAAACTGGTATGAAGTAACATTCCGCGGGAACGTGAGAAGCGAGGTATTTTTTCCATAAAAGGAAAAAAAGCGTGCAACTTCCCCAATTGATTAGTTGGAACCCTGTCATGACTAGGAAATGACCGAAATTAGATTGCTGTAAATTATTCATTGCTGATTAGAATTAAATGAAACTTCAGAGAAAGAAATAGAAATATTAGCTACAAGTTGAATCCTTTAAGTTTTGAGGTTCGCATTACGAATAGATGCATTTACGCTGTAGAAGAAACTATGACAAAATATGCAGATATAAACTGTAGTATACCATAGATGCTTGGCGCACATTGAAAGAAACGCAGGAAAGTTTGTGCAAAAACCATTAGTGTACATAAGCATATTAGTTATGAATAGAGCTTGAAAACAATGTGCGTTTCATAATAATCTGAAACAAAACAAAAAACAATTAGTTCATAAAATCTATTTCTACGATAGTCTTTTGATGCTTGTCCCTGAGGATGCGGTCTCCTTCATCTGCTAGTAAAACTATTAGAAGGCCATGTCCAACACAAATATAATCTGGTATAAAAGTCAATCGTTGCTGAATTTGATAATAAACAAAAAACCGACAAAAAATGTTGACCACTTTGGTTGAAAAACTAATACAAGGACGAAAACCATTTTGATATTTGAACTTTTCAGTTAAACAACAAAACCGTCTGTTTTAAATTTTCTGACCTGATAGTTTCTCACCATCTGACGTGATAGTTTAAGTGCGAACACCCTCCATCCCCGAAGAGCAAACACCGGTTCGAGAATTACGTTCGGTCGCTAAATAGCTAAGTGTGTTATAATATTTTTCCACAATTATAAGTCTCAATCAGTGAATCGACCGCTTTAAGCGGAAGCGGCCGGAAAAAGCGGTAAACCAGTTGAAATAAGCGAAAGCGGAATGATTTTTGTAAAAGCGGCAGAAAAGCGCTAAAAGCGCGACTCATTTTCAGAAAAGCTATTATTCACACGTAAAAATGTTGCAGAGCGCTTGTCGAGTTACTTATTCTCTCCCATTGTCAAAATCAACAACCCACTTCATTTTTGGTCGACTTATCCAGGAAGCATACAAAACTTTGTTTTCAACGCACTTTCTGTGAGCCCTGACACAGGTAGTGTCGAGAGACTTTTTTTCTACCAGCGGAAACATTCTCTCAAAAAAACGTAATCGCTTGGGCGCAAAAGTTCTCGAGAATCTTCTGTACTTAAAACTCATTGATTTAATTCAATTAATATTTCCTTGTTTGTTTTCTTAAAAAGCGGAGATCTATAATTTAGAAAAGCGGTAAAAGCGAAAAGCGGCTTCGAAAAAAGCGGAAGCGGCAAAAAGCGGCTTTTTCATAAGCGGTCAATTCACTGGTCTCAATGCGTGTCAAAAAGCAAAAAAACCCATGGGCTGCGTGCGTTTATTTACAATCAAGATTCAAAATCGCGCGTTCTCAAAAAAATATATCCCTATCCCCGTGCACTATCTGCGCTTATTCATATTGGTGCGTACTCGCGAAGCCAACGCACTCAAATTGAGTTCATAGAACTCAGTGCTCGGCTAACCGCTAAAGCAACAGGTGGGTTAACTTTCCATTTCAGACTTTGTGCCAAGCTGTGCTTTTGCGTGCAAGAAAATCTTTTTCGGCTATTAGTTGTTGCCATTATCGGACTAAATAACCAAATGACTGAGAAAGTACATTTCGATCGAAATTATGCACGAGATTTTATCAATGGATGAAACAATCTCACTAAGTATAGACCATGTGGTTATACAGGAAAACAGAAGCACCATCGCTTTTCAGAACTTCTTCTGATTGAGACGTGAAACTGTCCAAAATATTCTATCCCATATTTCGCGAAGAATGACTAGCAATACCTGGGTCGTGTAACTACAATTTTTGCAATCTGAAGCTTGACAGTTGTTACTTTGCGCTGCCTACAGATAATGCAATGAACTACAAAGGATTTAACGAGGAGCGAAGATTCACAATATCAAACTCCATATGAACTATAATTCACATTTAGTCCACGAACTGATGTGAATGACTGCGGATACCATGAACAAAGCTTTTTTACGGTAAATTCCGGCCATCGAAAAAAACTAGGGTGCTTGATGTCATATGCTTTGTTCACGAGGCGGTAAATTCAACCTGTCGAACTAATGAGGTTCGCGAGGCCAATAAACAATGCGTTTGAAGCAAAACGAATCGCCTTCCTGGCTGCTTTATAGTTTGCTAATGTTTGATAGAAATGTGTATGACTCGTATACTAAAGGAAAGAAAAAGTAACTTAACACAAGAAAGGTGATCTTCCACAAGAAAGCGCATAACTATTTTTTTTTTCGTTTCTGCAGGGTCGGTTTATTCCTAGTTATACAGATCATTTTCATTTCAGCTCTAATTTCGATTTCAATCTGACACGAGGAGTGATCCTGCTGGTATTTGAACTAAGAACAAAGTTTTGCATATCCGTCTTTAAATTCCAATCCAGTTCAGGTTCACTTCGTGTCAAAGACGAATATGCAAAATTTTAATCTCAGTTCAAATACCAGCGCGGCACCATCAGCTACTATCCGGGTACCATAAGAAACTAGGTCGAACAACATGGAGGGTTAGTTCATGTTGAAACCCTTTCAACCTTGATTTTTAAGCAGCCATAAAACAATTCAATGGTTGTCGCTTAAAGGCTTCAAACCAAGGGGCTTCAGTTTCGAAAGGACGTTTTGCACAATTAAAAATTATTTCTACAAATCACTCTTAAAAACATAGCTAACAGAAAGTGGGAAATTAATCCATAAACGCAAGGAAACAACAAAAACACTGATTTGTTGGAAAACTTTAAATTTCAAAATGGCATCTATGCTCTTGGAGTTTCAAGAACAGTTTATGATTTGACACTTTTATGATACAATTAACCCAATTCAGAAAACTGGACCAATAAAAAAAAATTTTATTCCACATAAATTTCTTTAAACATTCAAAAATAACCTGAAACAAAAGTTCACTTGAAAAATTGTATCAGATGTATTTTTTACTGTCAATTATTTGAACCTTTTTGCGCACTATAACAACCAGCAGCTACTGATTCAGTGTCCTCGTGATTTTCCTTCCGCACAGAAACTAAGCGGAGTTTCACACTACTTGCGATACATCAAAAGCATTGTATGGCAAGCTAGCAGACAGAAATTGAGACGAAAACCTCGTAGACGAAAAATTCCTTGAAAAGATACCGGAAAAGACCGACTATTCCAAAAATTTAATACGTTTGTCTCAAAAATTAAATTTCCAATCGAAAGATACATGTCTTGAAACAAAACGGCCAGAGATAATTTCGAGTCAAAACCGAGTCAACACTACAAACGTTCAGACGAACCCCAAATTAATTTTATAAAAACTTCAGCTGTAAATATCTGAAACTCGGAGTTAGTACATTATTGTCACCCTTAAAAACACGCAATATGAGGTGATTGTGCAGATACAACTAACCAAAAATCAGAGCTGTTAAATGTGAAGTTACAGTTAAAATGAAAATGGATCGGATACTAAATCTGATTAAAATCAATGCAGACGAAAATCAGCTGAAAAAACCGAAGTAGACCCAAAACAAATCACATAAATTTCGAACACAAAGGCGCCACTAAATCGGTAAAATCGCCACTAAACCGATAAAATCGAGAAAAAAATCAAAATGCCGAAATGTATCAAAACGAAAAAAAAGTATCAAAAACTCACACCAATACAATATAAGGTAGAAATAGAGTTAGAAGAAGATTTACCGAGTTGTAAACAAGCCGAAAAGACCTGAGAGGAAACCTTTTAAGCCGAAAAAAATTCAAAAAAAAACTTAAAAACTAATAAAAAAATGTTTATCTTCCATTACCCTCAATACACACAAACAGGCTCAACAAACTACGAATTATGAGGCCAATAAGCCGATATAAAACAGGCCAAAATTCATCAACCACAGAAAAAAAAAGAAACAAAAACATAAAACTTAAAAAAAAACACTAAAAACTAATAAAAAGTTGTTAGAGCCCCATTCTCTTCAATACCAGATGCACACAACCATAGGTCCAGCTAAATTTGGAGATAATTGTTTGATAATTTTGGATACTGTTGTTTTGATTCGGGATGAAATGGGTAATTTCACAAATTGGGCTTCATCCAAAACCTTGCCACTAAAATATCAGTAAAAATTTTAGTTACTTTGGAATTTTCCCAGAGAGTTTTTTGCACACATTTTGTCGTAGCATCTTATGCACTGAGGTTTCCCACAACCCAATGCCTCGATTAAACCCTTGATATCAGTTTGAGTTGTTTTCGAGAAGTCCAAAAAATTCAAACGGACAAGAAATCAGAACATTGACTTTTCTCAAGGCCAATACTTTGGACGTGAGCGCTTACAAACGGGAGTTTCACTTTTTTTCCAGTTTTTTCTATAGAATCTAAAATCCCATGTTTGAGAGGGTAGTTTTTGAGAAAAGTAAAAAATTTCAAAAAACGGTAAAAAAAAATCTTAAGTTTCACTTTCCGAGAGTCATAACTTTTCGTTTGAAAAAAATTTGCGCATAACCGCTTATTCAGGGGACCTTTCAACAGACCGTTCTTCCCATTGAAAACAAAATCTCAAATTTGGGAGGGTACTATTCAAGAAAAATCAAAAAGTTCCAAAAACGTTAAAAAAGTCACAAATACGACTTTTCCGAGGGTTACAACTTTTCTCATTAAAAATTCGGGCTTAGCCGCTGAAACAGGGGGGCTTCCCACAACCCAATTTTTCTAATAAAACAGCTCAGGTTTGGGTGGCTAGTTTTTGAGAGTGGGAGGTTAGTAACCGAATTGTTATATTTTCGAACCGACTTTCTCTCTAAGCTAAAAACAATGCCAATAAAGTTACTATTTTAAAACATCTCGAGAATAATTTCCAATAAAAATATAAAATAGCACCAATTCATCCGATATAGACTATTTTGCACGTGGTAATTGCACTAGAGAAACTCTGGAAAATATTTGAGATATCACACCAGATACCGTTCCCATCTTGGTTTCATATCTTCTTTATGTTGTCTCAAAACAAATTGTTGATACCTTCGATAAAAAGTCTTCTATGGTATCATAAGCTTCATCTATCATTTGTTCCGCCCTTGTTAAGTCTTGATCGTCGTATGTCTCAATTATCTCTCTGATGTAACCGTTCTTCATCATCACTAACATGGCACCTATCTCTGAGTCTTCTGAAATATCTATACACTTCAATTCAGCTACAATCGGGTCGAGTTCCTCAATAAGTTCTTGCTTCTCGAAGAAAATTGTTGAAAAATACTCGTCATAAACAAGCTCATCGGCTGTCCCTCTCGCAGACACGGTCTTCTAAAATTTAGGAAATTTTAAACTCAAAAATAGCCGTTATTAAAATTTCTTAACAGCCGTCATTAAGCGAAAAAACAATGAAGTTAAAAAGAAAAAATTGAAGTTAAAAAAGAAGTTTAAAATAAAATTTTATTGTTCGAAAATGGCAGAGGTCTGGAAATGAAGAAGACCGGGTGATATATCGGAGACAGAACACAGTCGCGAACATCTAGTTGATGAAGTTTAAAAAGAATCAAGCCAGAAACGGTTGCAAAATCTCTCAAAAGGGAGACACGACTCAAAACATTTCGCCTGACCAAGGAAACGAACGATAAAAAAATATGATTGGAGCAAAACTCGTTTAATGCGAAGGAAAACTCTTGATTGTGAAAAGATATTATCTCGCAGTGGCGAAGCTACTTCCAAATCTTTTAGATGAGAGAAGTCCATTTGAAACGGAAGATATTCTCCCTGGCCGATCCATTGGAGGAATTCACTATCCAAGTAAGCACTGGCACAGAAAAAAATGAAAATAAGAAAAGCCCAGGATCAACAGGGATAACTTTAGACCTGATGAAATCTTCCTGGACATTCTGAAGTCCCTTAGGAAGTCTGAGACTATGGTCTAATCCCTTCCGATTAGAGCGAGAGTTAAATTAGCATTTTACAAAGAATAAGGCGACCCGTTAGAATGAGATCCTAATGAGGCATCCGATTACTGGAACATGCACTAAAAACTTTTGAGGGCTAGAAAAGCGTATTAGCCAATTGATGAAATTAGACAACATACCATTTGGCTTTATGAGTGGTAAATCGATGGTGTTTTTCTCATAAGACAAATAAAGGAACAATTTGCGGAAAAAAGCTTTCGACCGTGTTCCCAGAGAAATGATCCCTTGGGCTCTCGGGAAACAGAGATTTCACAAAAATCTGTTACAACTGATAATGTATCTGTACACAGAGTCAAAAAACCAGAGTTTGACGGCCCCAGGGATGCAGTGATTATTTCGGAATTTAAGTAGGTGTGCATCAAGGACCAGCACTAAGCCCATTGCTATTTATAATAGTAATGGAGGAGGCTACGAGAAACTGTGGCTCCACAGTACCGTGTGATACGCTATATGCGGATGACCTTGTGATATCAGCTGAAACGGCATTCCAGTCTATTGAGAAGTTTGATACTTGGAATTAGGCTTTACAAAAACGAGGTATGAAAATTACCTTCGATAAGAAAAATCATTTGATTTCAGGCCGAAAGTGAATTCCTCAAAACATCGGAAAAACTTCATGCGCTTGTTGTTGAAGGGGGTTGACGCCAATTCAATACGGTGCAGTTTTTGTAATCGATGTATGCATTAAAAAACGCAGGGTCTGAGGAAAATACCAAAATATTATACTAATTATATTTCTCTAAGATTCCATAATCCTTCCATTATCAGTTAAACCAATCTACTCTACGGAAAAACCCATCTGAAACCCTGGAGACTGTCAAAAAAAAATTCTATCTGGGTGACATGATTAAAGATATTGACTTGGTTAAAAGGTGTCGTATCTACGGAGCTTGTCTCCGGCCAGTTCTAACGTATTGATCTGAAGCCTGGCCGCAGACTCAGGAGGTATCCAGCTTTCTCAAAAAAAATGTGCTGATATGAAAGCTTAGTGTACGATTACAGAGGTCAATTATACAGACAGAGTTACGAATGAAGCAGTAATTAAATAACAGGTCTGATTGATCTGGACAAACTACAAAGCACTTAGGGCTACGATGGTTTCGCCATGTTCAACAAAAAAAAGCATGATCGAAAGCAAACAGACCATGTTTCAGTCCCATGGAAAATACCAGCAGGAAGACTTACAAACACTGCATCGACTGTTTTAGAAGGGGCACGAACAGTTTAAATCTCAAACCCACAGACTGCATTTATCGAATGGCACGGTAAAACGTATGATCTTCCATTAAATAGCTCGAATGCTCTCATCTGAAAGCTCGAATTGGTCAAGCTATCCAGATACATCATTATTTACGCACTTTCCGTATGTCCAACCCCTCTACAATGAGAAAGCGGACAATAACGGATTTGTAGTTAGCAGTACTAGTAGTAGTAGCCGTTGTTAATAATACTTTAACACTATTTACCATCCAAACTGCAATTTATATCCAAGTCAGCCAAATGAGGACAGTAACCCGCTCATATTTCTCTGAATATTATTTAGAACTCTTTTTGATTCCAAGTCTCAATAGCTAGACTACACCGCCTAAACCAAGCCTCCAATGGTTATTCTTTGTTTTATATGGAGATTTCTACGAAACCAGCATTGACTTTCAAAAAAAAAACCAGCAAATAAGGGCACTTGATTCCTGTGGTTCTTCAGTCACACTCAAACAACCTCAAAATGGCAAGAAAAAAGCTTCGAAAATGAAAAAAATATATGAAACAAAGAGGCGAAGCGGAGCTTCGCAACCTTTGCGATACAACACAAATAAAAAAGCCAAAAAACTATATGTTGAACAAACTAGGTTCACCTAGTTTTTTCAAGATATAGTTTTTTGACTTTTTATGTTTGTGTTGTATCGCAAAGGATGCGAAGCTCCGCTTCGCCTCTGTGTTTATTATTTTCTACACGTCTCGATTAAAAAACCATCTGGGGGCCCAGTTAAAGCTGGAGGTACGTGCTGGACACTGAATGAAATTTCTATACTCATGCGGCACTAAAATGTGATTTCAAAATTTGGACTTTGCCCAAAACCTTAGTTGTTTCTCTACTAATTTTGAGGCAATCAATTTTCTCAAGGATATAACATTTCTGTTACAACAAGCACAGAAGTCGCCGCTTGTAGGAACAATTATTGCAACCAGTTTTTCAAATGAACTTTTCATCTCAGATTTGATTGGGTGTTTATTAAGAAAATTCAATAAACGCTAAAAAAAAACGTTCAACAGTTCTGTAAGACCGGTCAAAAGACTTTCCAAAAATGCTTCGGCAAACAGCAGGTTGTGGCCCCGTATTCAGAGAAGATTCCCAAAATCGGGTTTTTTCATTAAGCACAACCTGAGAATTGACACGGTAGTTTTTGCGTTAACTCAGAAAGTTGCCAAAAAATTGTCAAACCTTTGACTTGTTTGAAGGCCAGAACTTTTTTCTTAAACGAACTGGGCAATGCCAATTATAAACATAGGCTTTCAACAACCTATTATTTTGATTATACCTATGATATCAGATTTGGCAGAATAGCTAGCGAGAAAAATCCAAAAAAAACGGTCAACAAAACGGAGAAAATTCCAAAAAACAGTCAACGTTTTTCAAAAACCACAGTTTTTTGTGTAAAAAAAAGAGCAGAGCCCCTCGCGCAGAAGAAATTTAAGCAAGCTATAATTTCGATTGAACCCAAAATGTCAGGCTTGAAAGGGTAGTTTCCGATTATAAAATTTGTTTTCAAAATATGAGCCTCTAACCAAATGAGCTTACCACAACCTTCTTTGAATTGAACCCAAAATCTCAGATATGGCAGGGAAGATCTCGAGAATACTCAAAAAGTTTGAAAAACGGTCAAAATCAAAAAAAATTTGAGTATTAAAAACGTTGTGAGTGACCACTAATGCAGAGGAGCTTTCCAGTGCCCGTTAACTCCCTTGAACCCACAACATCAGATTTGAGATATTAATTTGCGAGAAAAGTCAAAAAGAATCACAAAACCGTCAAAAAACACAAAGTGGATTATTCTGAGGGCCATAACATTTTGTGCAAAAAAATTGGGCGTAACCGCTTATGCTGGGAGCTTTCTAAACAGTTCTAATCATTTAAACCAAAACTCAGATTTGAGAGGGGTAGTTATCGAGAAAACAAAAAATCAAAATAGGGGTCAAATAATCTCCCACGCTTTTTCTAAGGCGGTAAACAAAGGGGTGAGGTAGAAAAGACTCTAGGGGAATATTGAGACACACAGGGAAGTGGGCGTTATTTCAATCAATACCTTTTTATGACACTCATAAGTAGAAGTGTGAGAGAAAAACAAACATTTTTGCGAAATGTGAAAACGTTTTCAAAAAAAAATAAATTTCAACAAACTGATTGGTAAACATACAACCAGCTTGACAAGTGCGGAGGACGTGTTAAAATTGTGTTTCCCAAAGTCCCAAAATTAGGTCATTGATCCGATGAAAAATAGGCCGAATTAATTTAGGCCGAGGAATTTTTTTTAGCGAAACAAAAAAAAGAAAATACGATGTCAAGGAAGTAAAATTACATAAGATTGTAGGACGAAATCAAACACTAAAAGCAACATTAAAGAAAAAAGCGCGCAGCAAAAAATACGATTGCAAGATATGACTACTAAGTAGGCAAAAAATACGCAGACAAGTAATTGGCCGAAAATTTTCTTTGAAACAGAACATTTCCCGTTTGACCTTTGGCTTCCAAGGCATAATCGTTACCGCCAGTCTAAAGTGGCGGGCAACGCAATATTCCATTTCGATAACGCTTGCTAATCGCAAGCGTAAATATACCTCGTAAGAACACACTGACTTAATAACAACTTCGCACACTTGTAACTGAACTCCAAACCTGTCGCTTGAGGACAAGAAGATAAAACTTGCTGCTACAAATGTGAACACATTATCATCAGACCATAGAGGTCTGCGTTCTACAAAGTTCCAACACACACACTTAAAAAAACGATTTGAATAGCAAGTTAAATTTGTTAGCTTTTCAGACAAAACCTAGAGAATCCCCAATAACCGAATGCTATGAAGGCAGAAAAGAATCTTCCAACCAAACTCATTCATGGAAAGCGACTCAAAACAAAAATATTAGGTTTTAAGAATCTATTAGAAAAATAAATCGGCTGGAGAACTTGAAAAAAAATGGCTGTCCACCTTTCCTGTTAAATTTTTCTATAATTTTAACTGGAGTCAAAAAAACGTAAAAACTAGAGTGAAATTGAACTTGGGAGGCTATCCTTTTATCAAATTTAGCCTGAAAAAAAAAACGAACCAGTATTTCTCGAAAGTGAGACAAAATTTATTCCGACCATTTGAAAACAATTGAGGCACTTTGTATTTGGGTGTGCTTTAGTTTTTTTGTTCTCCACGCCAAAATTTAAAGTACCTTAAATAATCATCGCAATGGGTCGAGTGATTATCATAAAAAAGCCCTTCCAGTCGTGTTTCGAACGACATTATCAATTCTCAAAACTTTTTCCAGTATCGAAAAAAACCGGTTTGAAATTTTTGATATGATCAATAGTCCCTAAACTATGATGGTTTGAATATGGCTTAATTTCTCTATTTCTATTTAACTATTTCTCTATAAATGATTTTTTATGCGTCCCCTTAAATTAATTAAAGTCTCTGAAATTGGCCATCTAATTTGATTATGCAATATTTTAACTTTGATTATAACACCTTAGTTTGATGTTTATAAGAAGGTTTAGGGTCATAAAATCAGGTCAGTTCACCTTTGATGCTCCTAGATAGGCTGTAATTTTTGGACTTCATTGATTTAGTTCACAGAATTTGTACACATCGTTGAATTTTGTAATGCTAACTGGAATATAAAACATAGCCAGTCGAAAATTGCAAAAGAGTAATGAACGCAAGTAAACATTAAAAAAACGCTGACGTTGTTAAAAAAATCTCAACTTTCGAAATTCAAAGAAAAAAATAGATGCCCATTAAGCTCTTTGAATTTCTAGAACGATTTATAATCGGTGCTTTTTTGATAACATAAACACAATTTGAGAAAATTGGATCAACTGGTGTTTAATCCGCGGAAAATCTAAAAATTAAATTCCTCTTTCGAAACTAGAAATCGTTCGGGTTTTTTGCGCAATTTCCAGGTTCGTAATTGGAGAGTACAATTGAACTCAAAAAGTGCACATATTCCTAAGTGCATCGATATTTAAAGACTTTTTCCTGAAAAAAAAAATCAGCAAGACCTATTTAAGAGTTTTCACTAGGTTCATTACTCTTAAAAATAGCTTATTTACGCTTAAATTTAGTTTTACTCGAGTTTTATTAACGCCATTGTGAGAATCAAAAACAGAAAAAATTTCTGCGAAAAAAACTGAAAAAATATTTTAATTTGAAAAAAATTAATTATAATTCTTTTTTCGTTTTTCTAGTTATTTTTCTGTTCAATTGTCGATGCTGTTCAATTGTCGATGGGATATGTCTCATTTACTACGATTGTCGGATATGTCTCATTTTTTATAAATCGCTGAATTTAGTGTCCATGAAAAAATACACCACCTTAAACTCTTTTTGAATATCAAGAATCTTTTCGTTCTGACCGCGTCCAAAATATACAGGCAGGAACTATGGATTAGCTATTGTTTTTCTGTCAAACTTTTAATACCTCACAGAAAGCTCGCAGGTGGGTCAAGTGGGGCATCAAACTTAAAATGTTGTTGAAGATAAATATCTAAAGTTTTCCTAAAAATTCTAATCAAAACTTTAAGCGACTGGACGGAATTTAGCCATCGGCTTTTTCCGACGTATATTGAATACCTTTGATTTCCCTAGGATGGTAATAAATGGTCAAGTGATTATTCATTTTAAAGACACAATGGTTGCTATTCAATTTTTTTTAAAAACGGCTCTGAAGAAAAACGGCTCTGAACTTTGTCGTTTTTCATACTGAATCCGAAGCAAACGGATTACACAATGAGAGACTGAACTCTCAAATTAGGTACACTTCAATTTTTATATCATCTTTGCGGTTTATAACTAATTCAATCGACCTAAACTGAAATAAAATCAGAAGTATTTTTTTGTTTCTTTTTTTAGAATTTCTCTAATTTAATTGCTGTTCTCGGAACCCTATGTTATACTTGCACCGCAATCGGTTTACTTGATTAACTTCTATAGTTACTTTAATGTCAAGTAAACTTTTGGCGTTTGGATGCAAACGTAAAACAGAGGCGAAACAGCACTTCCCAAAGACAAGCAAAAAAATGGCCAATTTATTTTGTACGGAAAATATTGGAACCAATTACCTTGCCGCAGTTCATTTTGGAACGGTAATTTGAGCGCCTTGAAAATTAGATTAATTCGACTCGCTCACATGTGAGATGTGCAACATCGAGCATCAAGATCTTGGCGTTGAATTAAAGGTAAATTAAACATGGCTCTCTTACATAATGGGTTGCTTCTCTTCGTTTCACTCCAATAACATCGAGCACCTTCAGTTTTGTTCCTCCTTGATCTTGTGACTGCAGCAGTTCTACAATATCCAAATTATCCAGCGTCAGTACCATCCTGTCCGCAATTCTTCTAGCTTGTTTCTCTGACGCCCATTCTTCTAGAATCTGAGCCAGACGCTCTGCAAGTTGCTGCGTATCTTGTTCCATCTGTTTTTTTACCCTTAAATAATGACCATGCACGAGCCTCATTGCATACAAATCTTCATCTGTGGTGATAAGGTCGTCAGACGGGTCAGCCATCTAAACAAATTAATACTCAATGTCCCTCAAGAAGAAAGTTTTTTACAGGAACGAGCTATCGTCGCCTGCTTCTTTAATTCTGCCGCAAACTCCTGCGTTTATTAAGATTTTCTATTTTTAAAAATCTTTTTGAAATTTGACGTTTTTCCTCCATGCCAATTCTGGTTTTGCAAAGAAAAGTCAAACTGGGTCACGTGATTCATCACATTAAAATCTTTTCAATTGTGATTGAAACTAATAAGAAAGAGAGTGGAAAAATGATGCTATTTGAACTAATTTAGAGCGCAGTTTGAGTGACTCTTTGCAAAAACGGAATCACTTTTAGTTAAATATCAATGTTCTAAACTTTCAGCTGTCAGTAATCGAGTCTGATGTCAGCGAGTGAGATCAATTTAAAGCCCCCTTTCAGTCATGATTCGAACGACACTGAAAACATTTTATAAAATTATCCCACTGTCAAGAAAAACTATTTTGAAAGATTTGCGTTTTGGTTCAATTTCGAGCGAGTAAAGCGATCGAGCAACGTTCTTTAATGAAAAATTAACTTTATTTTTGGCCTTTGGCTGCAAAACCAGATTGAACACGAAAAAAAAGAAAAATAATAATTACTAGTGAGTAACGCACCTCCGGTGATCGAATTTTTAACTCATAAAAACAGCATGTATTGGAAATAAGATCTGCATCCTTTGCGTGTACTCTGACAGCACCCAATTACAGGGTTGGTAATTTCAATTTTTCGAAGTTTTTTAAATCAAATTTTGAAAAACCATAAAATTTTGGGAAGTTTTTACATCTAATTCTTTGAAAATTTTTAATGGACATAAAAATGTCCCATCTCGGAAACCTAAAGCAATTGAATTTTTCGGAAACATCTCGGAAACCTAAAGCAATTGAATTTTTCTGACAATACCCAACTACAGCGCGTTCAAAATTTCATTTTTTGAGAAACTTTAATTTTAAGTTTCTAAAAAATTGTTTTAAAAAATCACAAAAACGAAATTTCTCGAAAATTTGAGCAGTCATATTTGGAGGCAACATTCTCAACCCCTGAGAGTACCCTGACAGCCCCAACTACAAGGTTAGAAATTCCAAATTTTAAAATTAATTTAAGTTTTCTGAAACTTTTTCAAAAAATCCAAAGAACGTCGCATCTAGAAAACTACCAAGATCTGAGCAGTCACATTTGAAGGCAAGATTTGCAATCTCTTAGAGTACTCTGAAGGTCCATTACTACAGGCTTGGCAAAATTTCACTAAAAAACGACATCTCGAAAACTACAAGTATTAGAGCAGTCATTTTTGGAAGCGAAATTCCCAATTCCTGGGAATACCTTGAAAGAGCCTCACTATAGAAATGGGAACTTCATATTTTGTAAAAAATTTCATATTTAAGTTCTTTGAACAAATAAAAAAAAGACATGACAATCGTCACATCTCAAAAACTTAGAGCATTTGAGAACTCGCATTTGGACGCAAGATTTGCAACTTGGAACTCCTGAGAGTACCCTAACAGTACCCAACTAAACGTTTGGGAATTTCAAATTTATTTTTTAAAATCTGAAAAACTTGAAAGAAATCATAAAACACGTCATATCTCGAAGACTACAAGGATTATTTTCAAGCAAGATTTGCAATCCTGGAGAGTACTCTGACAGCACCAAACTACAGGTTTGGGAATTTCAAATTTTTGCAATATACGATATACCTTAAACGTGGAAAAATTCTTTCGTGAATTATGCAAAAATAATACGTTGAAAAAACTTCAACATGGCGAGATAGTGAACCCCGATTTAAATAAATAATAGATTGGGCAAAAAATTAGAACAAAGATTATTTTTTTATTTAATTTTTTTCACCATTATATGCTTGTCATTCATTTTTTAAGACACTAATGTCACTACTTTCTACGCATTTTATTTTCAACTAGTTTCTACACGTTTCATTGTGCTCTAGTCACACCACGCAGTATGCACTACAAACTACTATAATTTGAAGCCAAAAAAAAAGAGAAAAAAAGTTTGTAGTTTCTTCATGATTAAGGCCCGAACATTCAGTGCTACTTGTACAGAAACTGGCTATCCTTGTTTCTATTGAGTTTAATTACTCATTGAGACTTCACTGTACAATAAAATTGAAATATGGTATTTTAAAAACCTGTGTGTAGACGTTGAAGATGTAACCAAGAACTCTATTCACTATTTCTCTCAACTCCTTTCCGCCTTGATTATGAGAATCCAACAGGTGAACAATGAAATTGTTGTCCAATTCCCGTAGATGCTCAATTACAACCTTCATCAGTGAATCAAACTTCTCATCTACCATTTTTGAGAGTGCCGCGTAAAGATACTTTTCTAGTTGCACCTTGCGCATACAACATGCTAAGAACTGATAGTCAATAGACGATTTAATTCCCATATTAGCCTTCGAAGCCATATCTGAAAAAAAAACATTTAACAATCAACGAATTGAGAAGCAGCACAAAGCCATAGAAGCCTAGATTTATAGCTGAATCCGTCTGCCATTTTAACGAGACAAAACCTTCAGTTTTTTGTCACTGACCAGCTAACGAGTTTTCTTTTGGCACAATTTAATGAAATTAATTTTTCACAGACCAAAACTCTGACGGTTCCTTAAGTGTCAGCACATAATAATTTGAGAAGGAATGGCACAACTTAAATAAGCAAATCAATGCACCGGCTTTTTCAAATATTTTAAGAAATAAAAAAATTGTATACAGAAAGTTTGTATGACGATAAGATTTTATTCAATATTTTTTTTACTATTTCGAAGAGGAAAAATAGAATTTCTTGTGAAAAATTGAGCCCCGCCAAAAAGATTTCCTTGATTGAATTGTAATAATCTAGCCTTCAACATTCTTTAACAATTGAAACCTCCAACAGGTTATTTGTTTCGCAAATCACTTGGTTGTCATGGCAAAAAATGTTATGACCTAAAAATAATTTTTGTGCTCGCGCTGCTAAAATATTTTTAAAGCGTTCGTTTCTAATATTCGCTTGTTTAAGTTTGGCATGCACACTTATTAGACTATTATCAACTAAATTTGCCTTCACATCGAATCTTATAAAACCACCCAATATACCATAAACCTGATGCATATCAGAGGTACACATTCTTGCTTAATTTTCGAGATTATCTAATTTTGGCCGTTGTTAAAAGCCACTCACTCAGAAAAAGCGGAGCATCGCACGACTTGCTATACATCCCAGACACAGCATGGCAAGCTATCCAACAGACAAGGAGACGAGAGCCATGGAATCAAAAAATGTTTTAAAAAAACTAGCAAAATTTGGTCTCTATTGTTGTTCATTTTGAGAAAAACCTGCTGAGAAAAAAACAGCCAGTTTTGATTAAACATTGAAACAAAATTTATGAATCGCTAACCAAGTCGTCGAAAAAATTGGGGTAGATGTCCACTGCTTCGCAACTAACACTTAAACAGAAAATCCCCCCTCGCCATTTTAAGGAGGATGATTAAAAAAACGCCAAAATTGAGTTTTGATGACAAATAAGGTAACCCCATTATGTTTGTTTAACTGTTTAATGAACAGAAGCGAGCAAATTTCTTGATATAAACAACAAGTTAATTACAATTTTCAATCCAAAAAGTTTCTGACTGAATATATTTTGCAAAAATTTTGAAATGAATTTTTGGTACTACTATGATAGAGTGGTCCCACGAAAAAGAAACTACGATAGACAGGTCCCGCATGTAATTCGCATGTTATAAAAAAGGCGTTTTTAGGCACTTTTTGGAAAACTTTAACCAAAAATTGCGTTTTTTTGGCACGCGCTCTCCCCTCAAAATTAGTAAACTTTGGCGCCAAAGGCGCCTTTAGAAAAATTTTAGGGTCAGTCAGCCAACAAGGGAAATCTCAAAATAGTACAAAGGGGGGACCCTTTGGGTCGGCATGGGGTCGAATCCCTGAGGGGGGGCGTCCCTCTCCCCTAAATCCGCCCCTGGTACCGAATAATTTATGCACAAATTAGATTTCAAAATAAAAACATGCGAAATGCATGCGGGACCTATCTATCATAGTTGCTTTTTCGACGGACTTCTCTCTCATAATATTACCTGAGTGTCTATTTACCCAATCAGATTCAACCACAATAATTTGATTTCAAGAAATATGTAGAAAAACTGATTTCGGGCCGTTTGAGACCCAAAAACTCTCCCATTTTCATCTGGAAAATTTTGAAGTATTTTGCAGTAGCTGATTTAGGGGGAGGGAGACGGCCCTTTGTTTTGTTTTGAGATAACCATTTTCGGCCGACTGACTTCAAAATTTTCTAAAGGCGCCCTTTGCGCCGATCACACTAATTTTGAGGGGGGGGGGGGGGCGCCGAAAAAACGCAATTTATAGGTCGAAATTTACCGAAAAGTCCATAAAAACGCCTTTTTTTGCCTGTTTTTTCACAAATTTGCCTGCGGCGCAGAAGCTGTTGTCAAATTAGGGCTTTATAGTGATTTGGGAGAGCTCAAAAAATCAATTCTTTGTCCTCCCCAACTGCAAACTTTTACAAGTAAAATGACTGCTCACATGGTGCGATTGTTATGGAAACTGACATGCGGAAAAATTGGGCAATGAAAATGTTTGGTCTTCATGATTAAGATTAACCTTGTACAATGTTACACTTGGGCTCTTTTTCCTCACCCCCCACCCCCTCCCCCACCTCACACGAGCATCAACTTTACGGTGTAACGAGAGGGTTTTACAAGGTTAATTATGAAGGAAGACCAAATATGTTTGCCATCATGGCCTTATTAGTCCGTATGCCAATTTTTAAAACAATCGAATACTGTGAACAATTTTTTTTATTTGTAAAATTTTGCAGGTGGGGGGAAAGGATAAAGAGCCTACACTTGCGCCGGGCATGCGTCTTGGAAATCAAAAGCTAACAGAAAGTAAAAAAAAATCAATTTAAACAATAAAAGGTCTTGGGCGGATTTGAACCACCGATCTCCTGTTTACTAGACAGGCGCTTTAACCGCTAAGCCACAAGACCGTGATAACAGCATGAGATCATTCTATTTTGGTCTACAATATCTAAACTACTTGAACGCTTTATAAATCCACTTGTCCGCCTGCTAGCAATACTATTCGAATTGAATTAGCAATACGCTCATTTACAGCGTGAATTAAACTCACCAAGTCAAAAACATGCGGCCACTGTCACATATCACATAATACCAATATACCAACAAAGAACTTACCATTTATTATTCGAGAAAAAGAATGTTGCCTTCTCAAATCATTTCAAATTTTTAGATCTCGGCTGAAACCTAAGAAAATTGCAAAAATCAACGCGGAAAATTGCAAAATAAACGGCAATCCAGGACTCCAAGAAATTGGAAAAAAAAGGAAAAGGATAGTCACAATTTCCTAGCAATATCAATCCAGTTTTGTACCAAACATTTTCATCTTGACTTTTCATCATTTAGGGGGTAGGATCAAGTTAACATCCTCCCCTCCCCTCCCCTCCCCTCCCCTCCCCTCCCCTCCCTCCCCCCCCCCCCCCCCCAATAGCGCTGAATTTAAATTAAATTGATAAGGGCTGCGTGTAGAATGCTCTATTCTGATTGGCTGAAAAATCGAACTCATAACCAAGTTAACATCCTCCCCCTTAAACGTATTTGGTGGGGAGAATGTTAACTTGCTCCAGGGGGTATAACCGAAAGTACCAAATAACCTCGGCTCATAAGTTACCTTTCAAGGAAAATTCAAATTCAAACCCAATTTGAACTAGTTTTGAAATTTTGACGGGGAGCTCGCGCCGAAAAACGCGATTTGGTTGAAACCCCCCCTCGAGAAATTCCTAGATCGCGCCTGATTCAAAGGTTGACTGAAGGCCAGGTAATCATACCCAAGTGTTTTTACCAGTCAAAATGCACTCGCACTCGACGATTTTTTGCGAGAGGTAAGGAATAACGAAGCTTCGAATAAAACAAGCATTTTGCAGAATGCAGGAGAGCTATTAAAATTGGTTCCATCACTGTTAAATTAAAAATTTGTTGAGTCATTTGGTGAAAAACATTCACATTGATTACTGGTTAAAAATTAAACCTTTTTAATTTTTCAACTATATATGTCTTCAAGGACCATCAAACTTGAATCAAATAATAATGACTGTTTTTCCGTTACTTGGAAATATCAGCTCTTCTAACTTTCTTCCCTTAATTACATACTAACTAGCACAGTGGTAAGGCGTTCACTTAAGATTGTCAGATCAAGATATCCATCCCCTGTCATTGATATGCGCGATGACGAGCTCTCACTTGACCTCTAGCTTTATTTATACCAGAGTCTGACCAATTTCAGATGCAATAAAGTAGAATATTGAGAAGCACAAAAGCGGCCCTGATTCACAAAGAGCTTCGCTTAACAAAATATCTGTCTGGAACAAGAGGGGAAAATAAACGCACTACTGTTAGACAGACCTGATAGCCTTTCATAGATCCTATGCGAATCGGAGAAACCAAAATTATTCTTGAAAAATTCAAAGAAAACTTAGATAAACTGAAGAATACGTGTACCGGTTATACAGTGCTGATTTAAATTAACCGGACAAAACGCGAAATACTAAACTTGAAATTTAAAACGCGTTTTTTCAATAATTGAGTTGAGTTTAGGTGAAAAGTTATGAAGACAAAACTTGCTTAAAATTTTAGCAAAATTAATATGGTTTAATTCGTTTTGCGAAATTCGGGCCCAAAATGTTACCCCAAAGATGGGTCATTTTGGCTTTTCTTAGCTAATCAAAAATTAAGCCAAAAATACCCACTCGATCACAGACATAATAATATCAAAGTGAGCCCCTTACGTAGCCCAACAAACTTTAAGAAGGGTAGATTCTCCAAAAAAAATTTGCAAACCGTTTAAAATTGTTTTTAAATAAAAAGTTGGTATTTCATATAGTAAAACGACCTTTTTTGTCTATCAAACAAAAATAAAATAACTCATACAAAATTTTGGAGAATCTACCCTTCTTAAAGTTTGTTGGACTACGTAAGGGGCTCACTTTGATATAATTATGTCTGTGATCGACAGGGTATTTTTGGCTTAATTTTTGATGAGCTAAGAAAAGCCAAAATGACCCATTTTTGGGGTAAAATTTTGGCCCCGAATTTTGCAAAAAAAATTACACCATATTAATTCTGATAAAATTTTAAGCAAGTTTTGTCTTCATAAATTTTCACCTAAACTCAACCCAATTTGAGAAAAACGCGTATTAAATTTCAAATTTAACGCGTTTTGTCCGGTTAATTTAAATCAGCACTGTAGAAGTTAAGGTGGTTGGAGAAAGGTGTAACAGAGTCAAAACAGATTAAATTTCAAAGAAAAAAGTGCTGACAATTTGAACTTCAACATTTAACTCAATTTTTGTGTCGAACAATAAACTGAATACATTCACCGGTAAAAGGATACAAAAGCTGATTAGACTAAATGTTGCGCAGTCAAAAATGATTACCCGTTTCAGAAACAAGTGCTATTTTATCACAGTTTCCTTGTCTCAGAAAAATTCTGTACATTTCTTTTTTCCAAATTGTGTCGTTTTATATTTGTGTTGTCTTGGAAGGATCTGAACGAACACCTAGAACTTAGATATATTCCATAGTAATAGTAGGTCAGGTGTACTCGAAAAAACTAAAAATTCACTGCAAGACTTGAATTAAAAAAAACAAGACGATAATAAGACCTCACTCGCTCCAAATTAGACTTCAAATCAAAAACTTCAAAAAAATAATTCTAAACACTGGTGAAATTTATGAATTTTTTTAAATTATCGAATTACGAGTTAAAGAGTTTTAATATATATCACTCAACGGTTGAGTGATATATATTAAAACTCTTTAACTCGTAATTCGATAATTTAAAAAAATTCATAAATTTCACCAGTGTTTAGAATTATTTTTTTGAAGTTTTTGATTTGAAGTCTAATTTGGAGCGAGTGAGGTCTTATTATCGTCTTGTTTTTTTTTAATTCAAGCGATTTTGATTTTCTGAGCTCTTGTAAAGCACTAAAAGGTCCCTGTTTTTCCCAAATTTTCTGCGCCGCAGGCAAATTTTTGAAAAAACAGGTCAAAAAAGCCGTTTTTAGGCACTTTTTGAAAAATTTTGTCAAAAAAATCGCGTTTTTTGGCGCGCGCTCCCCCTCAAAGTTAGTATATATTGGCGCCTTTAGAAAAATTTTAGGGTCGGTCGGCAAAAAATGGATTTCTTAAAAAGTATCAAAGGGGGGACCCTTTGGGTCGGCAGGGGGTCGAATCCCTGAGGGGGGGGGGCGTCCGCCCCCCCCGCCCCCCCTAAATCCGCCCCTGACTCAACCTATTCCAAGGATTCATTCTGCTACCTGATTGTGCGTGGAAAAAAAATTAAATACACCCAAAGACAAACTCACTCTCATTTTCAACGGTCAGAACAAAAAAATACTTTCATGTAAATTCAATAAAACTTTTTACAGCATTTAAAAACTGCAATAGTGAGGGGTAACAATCGCTCGAAAAACAACCGAAAACTGTACCAGGTTTAAATTGTAGTAGAGAGGTCACCCTCTCAACAATTTTTGTCCAATTAGTCTAAAATCCAACAAATTTAGACCAGGCTTTCTCGACACTGAGACAACTTTTTTTATGTAATCCGAATTACGTTAATAGGTCTTTAATGTGATATCATACTCAACCCTCTGAACGTTCTCTGAGGTAGTCAAAATTGAGCACAAAAAACAACTAGCTAAACCATGGTTTTTTCCCACTGGCAGGTTGTGATCGGAAGAAAAACGATGAAAATACGTTTTAATGAAGAGCAACCTGATTTTGACACACAAAAAACACCTCCCATCTACTGTTCCTCCCCGCGGCTGAGTAAATATTGGTTGAATAAATGAAATTAATTTTCAATCTATACTAGCGTGTAACGCACCTCAGGTGCTTCAAAATTTTGACAACTCATTGAAAAATGCATTTATTGGAAACTAAATCTTCATCCTTCGAGTGTATTCTGACAGCACCCAATTAAAGTGTTGGTAATTTCAAATTTTAAAAAGTTTCCCAGTCAAGTTTTTTTTTAATTCAAACTTTGATAAACCATACTATTTAGTGAAGTTTTTTATGTCTAAGTTCTATGAAAACTTTGAAAATGACAGAAAAACGTCACAACTCGGAAACTAAAAGCAATTGAGCTGTAGCATTTGGACGGTAGCATTCTAACAGTACCCAAATACAGGGTTTGAAATGTCAAGTTTTGAAAAGAAAACATTTTAAATTTATATTTTCTATAACTGTTTTTTTTTGAAAAACCATAAGAAGCGCCATATCTCAAAAACTTGAGCGCTCATACTTAGAGGCAAGACTCGCATATCCTGAGAGTACTCTGACAGCCCCCAATTACAAAGTTAGCAATTCCAAGATTTGAAAAACTAATTAAATTTAAATTTTCTGAAAAATTTTGAAAAAACCACAGAAAACGTAATATCTGGAAAACTGCAAAGATTTGAGCAGTCATATTTGAGCCACGACTCGCAATCCTTGAGACTGAAAGCATCCATTTACAAAGATGGGATTTTCAAAGTTTGTAAATTTCTTTTTAATTGAAATTTTCTGAAAATCCGAAATCGCAACCCTGGGAAAACACTGAGAGCATCCCATCATTGGGTTGCTCATTTTTAACTCGGTACAATAAACACTGAATTCAAACTGCAAATCTAGAAAAAATTTCTTAACCCTTGCAATATACGATATAGCTTAAACGTGAAAAAAATTCTTTCGTTAAACATGCCAAAATAATACGTTGAAAAAGCTTAAACATGGCGAGATAGTGAAGCCCGCATTTAAATATATAATAGATTTCGAAAAATTAATGGGAATATCGAGCTCAAAGTCGAAAATTAACACTTTATTTCAAACTAGATTACGCAAAAAATGAATGTAGACAAAGACTCAATCAATCACAGGAACCGTCCTTCCATCCATCCCTCCATCTCTCATTGACCTTGGAACAGTCGAAGAGGGCCTTACCCAGTCGTTTGTTCACACTGTTGTGCAGTCTGCACATCCACTGAGAGAAATCTTCATTCGAATTCACTTCAGGCGGCATTGTCTGCAAATTTATCACAAAAAATCCAAAAAATTATTTAGTCAAAACATGTAAAAAATTTTAAAAACTAGAAAATACTCTACTTTTAGCTAAAACAGTTTCATTGGTAGTTACTTTTGAAGCCTATAAAAACCGTCTATTCTAGATTCTTTAGGCCAATAGATTTACTGTTTTTTTTTTCAAGCTGTTTTCATCTTTTTTGGGTTCAAAACCCACTAGGTTGCTATTTAAAAAAAAAGAATGAAAGAAAGGTTTTTGAACATTTTAGCTGGCTTAGTTTTTAAAAAATCAGTACCTTAAGATCCTTTCGCAGTTCCTCTGCGCATGGTTCACAAGGGTAGAACTTCGAAAACAAGTTCAAAAACTGCTTCATTTCACTCTTCTGTGAACTACTAGGTTGTTGAGGGTAATAAGCTGCCATCGTGTGAAGAAAAGACCACGTATTCCTTCCAAGTTCATTCGTGTCCAACGGACAGTCTTTTAATTTCACATCAGACGACGAATACTGGTGATGTTTCTGTGTTTTATCTGTTTCAGAAGCTGCGTTTCCTCCGAACTTGTCTTCGTTTAGTTTTTTCCATGACTCGAAGTCGTGACACACACGATGTTCACAGTCTTTATTGCTATCTTCAGTAACCACTTTTTTCCTCATTTCATCTAAAAAGGAAAACATATAAGACACGAGAAAAATGTCGACAATTTGGTCATATCAGTGTCAGCGCTAGAATGACTATTTCATTCATGAAATTTTCGAAATAAAAAAATCGCCGAAACCAAGTAATTCATAGCCTTTACAAAGCTTTCAATGCTTTGTGATTTTGCCATACATGAAGAAAGAACTCAAAGCAGTGAAACAAAACCATCAAATTTAGTATCAATAAACTTAATTTAAATTGGAAAGAGTCAAAACTAATAAACAATTTGAAATAGAAAACGAAAAATTAAAATAGTGAGAATAGTGACTGGACCCAACTTCAACCACAAAATTGAGGATGCTAAGGCAAACCAATTGCGGCATTTGATCATAAAAACATTTCTCATATTTTATAAATCAAGATTATTCAAACAAAACTTCAATTTTTTTTTTCATTTTTTCCTTGCGCAGTTTTTGACTCCTTTTCACAAAAACATTTCAAAACGCGAGCAGAAAAAAGCGAGCCAACAGACAGTTTGATAAAGATTCAATGAGCGCAAGAAAACAGAAAAAAAACAGACATTTTTTTTTAAATCTCAATTTTATTTTAAATCTCTCAGAAAACAAATAGATACCCTTCAAACTCTCTGAACTTCCAGAACAAAATATTACTGGCACTTTTTTGATTAAATTAACCCAATTTGAGAAAACTTTTCCCAATTTGAGAAAAAAAAACGAAAAAGAATCATCAGCACCTAAGAAGAGTCTGAACTACGTTCAACGACTCTTAAAAATGAGAAGAGGAACAATGACCTTATCATCTATAACGAAACGTAGCCAACAGACACGAATACCGACATGAACTCACGAAAACCGAAAACATTTTCGAAAGAAAAAATAGATATATGAATTTCAGGTTCTTTGAATTGTTAAGCTGAACAAGAAATCACAATGTAAATTACGAAAAGTCTAATTTGAGCGTGAACAAATTCAAAGACTTTTTCAGAAAAAAAGACAACAGGACCTATATAAGCGTCTTCACATCGTTCATTGACTCGTTCATTACTTGAATACCCGGATGTTTAAAAAAAACCGATTGTTCAGATGACCTTTACCTCCGATCCACGTCACTGGCAGTTGGGTTAAAACACTGATTTGAGAAAAAAAACTTTTACCTTTTATGTTCTGTCTTCGGAAGTGTTTTAATGTTTTTTTTTCATGCGAAATCAAGTATCACAAATGATCGTCGGAATAGGTTGAGTGGTATATCACATTAAACCCCTTTCAGTCGTGATTCAAACGACTTTTGAAAAAAGCCAAAAATTGTCCCAGTGTCAAGAAAAACTGAAATTGCAGAGTATTAGTCTAAATTCGAGTAAAGTGAGCGATTAGATTAAAACCTTGATAAAATCAAAAGTTTTCATTTCAGTAGTGAAAAACTTAGTCTAATCCCGCAAAAACTAATTATGATGATTAATTTGATTACCGTTGGAATAATTGGTTTTCAATTCTATCACACACCTAATCAAACTCGATCAAAAAGACTCAATCGAGCGAAAACATACACTGTTAAAATTTTGGAAGTAAATTGGGAGGCCAGTCTCTTATCAAACTTTGTCGAAAAGTTTTCAAAAAACTCCATAACCTCCCGACCGCTTTTTCTCGACACAGACAACAAAAACGTTTTGAAACCGAATCACGATTGACATAACTTACTCAAAAACGTCACCCGCAACCTAACGCGTTTCTTCATTAGCCCCCGGTCCCACTTTGAGGAGACGGATGAATCTGGGACCCATCCAACCAATCGTGACCGAAGTGGGGTTCGAAGGCGCGGCCCTCTTGTTGAGAGACGCGTGCCTTACCACACTCAGCCACCCTAGTAACGTGATGGGAACAAAAAATGATATTCAATGAAAACAATGAATTATACTGCCTACACACGTGTTAAAACTTTACTGATGAAGAACATGCAAAACGACGCAATTAAGTCAATATAACTGGCGCAGTAAATAATCGAACAAAAAATCGACCTGAATAGAACGTTTTTCTATTTTGCAAATCGTTTTTACTGAGATTTTGTCATTTTATCTTCCCATTTGAAAGCATAAAATCCACGAAACAACAAAAATAGGTCAACATTTGTATTAAAAAAATGTAGCGGAAACCACTTTTTCCATGAAATCCATACTTAGAATGACAAAAACGAAAAATTAATCTATCAATTCAGTTAATGTCAATTGACTCAAACTTGAATTGAAATGTCATCAATAAATTTATATCAGAAATCCATGAACTGTTCTCTGGTAGCGTTCGGGGGTCCTCTTTTTGCTCCTCCTCCTCCTCGGGGCGGTGAGTCATCACGAGGTAGGAATCTGTTGCTTCTATTTGTCCGTCCAGATTCCAGCTGCAAATCTTTCGCTGCCAGATGCAAAATCTCACTCGGGTCTCGCAACTTCTTCCGGTCATCTATTTGGTGTCTCCGCGTGAACAAATTTTTGTCCATAGTGTCTCCATTGCGTCTTCTGTCCATTTTCCGGCGATTATTTAGGGACATCCCTGCCCAGGGCTTCTCCCCCGGCGTCAAAATTGCATCTTGTCTCGGGTTCTCTGCAACTTCGTATTGGAATGCGTCATAATGCTTCAAAACATCTCCTAAATCTCGTTTCAATCTGTTCTCATAACCAACATAATCCTCTTGCAGCTCTCTAATACGTCTTTGAAGTTGATTTATGTAATTCATTGTTTTCCTTTTGTGGTTCTCAATTTGTTGCTGGAACACATGTTCAGTGGCGTGTCTTATTCCCCCAAGACTGTCATATTGTTTGTTGTTTAGGACAGGTAACATTCCCTGATTAGGGTCATAGGAGAGCGACTCCGGTCTGAGAGGGACGTTGTCGAGTACTTGGGCAGTTGTCAGTTGTTTGACTGCGTTGGCGTATCCTCGTTCTGTCTGGATTGGATTGTCGTGCAGGTAAAGATACTGTACGTTCGTCAGAGCCTAAAAAGCGATCAAATCATACTTCAGATTTTTATACATACGTCATTTTTTCACATGAAAGATTCAATTTGGCTAAAACCTATTTGACTTAGATTCTTTATATCCACGAACTTTTATCTGCTGCATATACTAACTTTCAAAGCTATTTGCTATCTGCACATTAACGAAAACTTTGTTCAAACGTTCACGTATGCAAATAAAAAAGTCAACCTTTGCTTACCTGTAACACCACAAGTGTATCATGCAGACTGAAAATACTGTTATCACTCGCATTGAGAACCCTCAGAGTGAAACTAGTAGCCAGAGGCTGGATCTCACTCAGTTTATTCTTCTGAACGTGCAACTCATTCAGCCTCGGAAGACTCTGGATGCCATCAAGAGAAGTCAGTCTGTTGTTGTTCAGGTGAAGAATTGTCAAATTCGACAACGCAGGCATCATCGATATTTCTCTAATATCATTCATAGACAAATTCAGTTCGGAAAGACTTCTCAACTGTGCAATATGAGCTATATTCCTTATGAAATTGTGCGACAGATTAACATACACCAAGTCTTGGCACAACTCGATACCTTGGTAGTTCTCAATTCGGTTCAAAGACGCGTCCAAGTGCCGCACATTCGGAAACGGCTGCAATGCATCGTATGACAGCTCCAATAAATCATTCAGCGAGAAGTCGACTTTAAGACATTTGTCGGGTCTCTCCACGAGCGAAGGAAGGTTCGGGATCCTTGTTTGACCTGTCGGAGATCCGAACTCGAAGTCGTAGATAATCCTCTGTAGTTGGCACATCTTCAACTTCAGTCCAAAATAGGGAGACGCGTTTTGGTTCACCTGCCAGTAAAACGGAATATGGGTGAGCTCAACTGCGTGATCTTCTATAAAGTTGCGGCTTAATTTCTGAGTAGGTTGGGTTCTGACGAAATCATACGAGTAAGGGTAATGCATCTGGTTTTGTGGTCTACCACGATATATCCCGTTGTCGTCTCGTTCTCGGTTATTACGTAACATATTTCCCTTCAGGGTAGAGTCGATCGATGCCTCGCTGGTGCCTCCGCTGCTCAGATTCCTATTTGGCTGTGACCCCGAGGGAGCGTGTTGATTTGACCGTTGGGCAGCAGATGAAGATGGCTCGAATTGGTTGTTTATTCTGCCAGGAATGGAACTATTACTTCGGTTGTTAGTATCTGAAACGACATCGAAACTTTTCAATTCTTATTACAATTTTTTTAAACTGAGATCACTTAATTACCTGGCTAGACCACGTTAAGAAAATCAAAATTTTTCTTTAAACTAACAATTAAAAATTTGATTTGATTTGCTTGTCACGCACAAATGCCTCGGGTTGAAAAACTAAGTTTACCTTAGCTTTTAAGGTTAAAAGGGCAAAAACAATTACTAACTATTTCGGCTCATATTCTGCTGCTGCTGATAAGTGTTATTGTTTGCAGCTGCAGGCTGGTAAGTCGGGGGCTCATTCTCCATATCATCATCCTCCGAGACATCGTCCTCATTCACAGGCTGCAGATTGTTGTTGTTATTTACCCCACCACCACCACCCCTTCCTCCCCTGTCGTAACCAGTTGAAGCCATGGTATATTTTAAAGATGTAAGAATTCTGTTTTAACAGCTGCTACTGTTGCTTCTATGTACAAAAAGAGTTCGTATCTGAGAGCGTGCTAAATACTTTTGAAGCATAAATACTTTATTCGACGTGCTACATTGTACATGATATGCGATGCGTCTTAAGAACGTTTCAATGCTGTGAGTTTGAAAACTAAAGCACTAAAACGCCTCGAAAGCTAAAGCACTCTTTACTTTCTCTTGAAACTCTGGGACCAAAAAGGTTCTCTCTAGTAGAAAACAAAACTTTATGACCGCCGAAACCAGTTACAGGTTTAATGAAAGCTTCAAAACAAATTGCACCCGAAAATATAATCTGTTCGACCTGAGGCTTTTGTGACCACTTCAGTAACAATTTATCACAAAAACTCAGCTTCAAACCTTTTTTTTTCAAAATCAGTACAGATTAATGCAAATGCAACAACTAACTTAAACAACATCAACAAATTCTAACATCTTGATAGCAGTTTAACTCAATAGCATCTTCACGACGCTTAAACAGTATTTTACTCTGAGTAATCTAAACAGTATTTAAAAATCACAGCGTGACCACATTAGCCACACAATTGACTGCATTGTAGGAAAAGAAGTTGTTGAATGGCTTGTCATTCCTCGAGGCAATCTTGATGATCTCTTGACCTATGACCCCTCCCAACACAGCCGCTACTTCCGCCCTGCCCTTCATCTGGTCAAAGGCGGCGTCTGCTAGAAGGGAAAAAGGGAGACAATCCGGGGCCAGATTGTACTTGGTTCCCAAATCCGCCAGTCGGTCTACTAGAAGTTCAAGGTCGTCTGCTTTCAAATTGGACGTTACCAAGTCGTCCTAAATCACATCTCAATTTTGAGAAGTATTTAAAAATTGAAAACTTTTCAAACCCTATTTTAAAGTTGCAAAAAAGACACTGTCTTTAAATTAGCTGAAACTTTCTCGTGAAATGCCTTTTTGTGTTGATTTAAAAAGTATTTTCCGAAGTGATAGTCAAATGTTCAAATGAAAAATTCGACAAAGTAGAAAGCAGCGGATTTCGGGCAAGGGCACACCGCTGTTACCATATCCTGAAAACTATTTTTGGCCTACCACTTCTTAAATTTATCCAAGGCATTCACTGTTTTTGACGTTGGAGCTCAGTCGGAGCAAAAACAAAGTGCATATACTTGTCCACCCAAATCGTAAAAATTCGCAGGCGGCACAAATAAGTATTGCAAATGCTCTTCTTCATAGTATTTTGTAAGAGCTCTGAAAATCAATTTGCTTGAATTAAAAATGGCATTAGAATTTTTTTTAGAAAAGAGCAATCATATATTATACAGCTCTTTCCCTTCGCAACTTTAGATCCATTCTTGAAATTAAACAATAACTTCGGAAAATGGCTCCCTGAAGAAAAGCTAAAAATATCAACTACTAGATACCTTTAGCAGTGAAAGAAGGAACACTTTGTTCGTCTTCTGCTTCTGACCCAGACAATCCGCACTTGCAAACTTCCCAAACGGAACAGCTTCCTGGAAACTCTTGAACGACACTTCATGATGCTGGACTGTTTTCGTCTCTGATCCGTCTTTTTCTCGCTTCGAGTGCTCTGAATGACATTTAAAACTCTCGCCCAAGTCAGTAAACATGTAGCCAAAGGAGCCAAACGTGTCTGCACTTAAAAAAAGAATCCCTTTCGACTTGCAAATTATATCGACTTTATTCACGATTTCAAGAGGATAGTCAATCACGCATACAATACTGAACGCATTGAAAAATTCATCCTCAACGTCTGACAAATTCTTTTCGACAGAGCTCACTTTAACATTAGGGTTCAAAGAAGAAAGCCTTTCAATGCTTGCTGTCGCTCTATTTTGGCCATTTGCGTCACATGGAGCCATGAACTGACCCGGGAGGTCTTTTGAGGTCAAGTTGCGATGGTCTAGTAATGTAACTGAATTGACACCTGTCAGAACAACATTTTTACCCACTTCTGCACCCAGAGCGTCCAACCCGGCTATGAGTACATTGGTCGCACGTAGTTTCTGTTGTGCCTCCACTCCCCATAGTCGGAGCTGTCTGTCGTACAATTTTGCTTCTCCGGCTGACAAGTCACCTACGATTTCTTTTGTTTCAACTGTGGATGCCATTTTACTGTCAATTTCAACAAATGAACTGAAATAAATTTAAACTCTTTCACAAATTCAATTCCTTTAGAACGACGGATCTCTTCAACTATATCCCCCCTTTTGCAAAAGGGGGAGGAGATTCGTTACTAGTTTAAAATTCAAAATTCTCATATGCCTAACCGTGATTTATTTCTTTACATGGGGGATATTCAGTACTAGGTATCCGAGGGCGAATAGTTAAAGAGATCTAAAAGGACTTGTAGGTTCGAACAAGGACAATTTTTACGGTTGAAATACAGGGGCTAAGTGGCGCTGTTAAATTATGTTCCAATGATCGTCAAAAAAATGAAGCCAGATTTCAAGAGAAAAACCTATCCTCTAGCTCACTTGTCGGAAAAACTCAATGAACAAATTTTATACAGGCAAAGGAATCATTTGTTAAACTGTTGTAAAAAAGGCGAAAATTAGGTACCGTTACTAAATTACCTGACTAAAAACTATTCAGGGAAAATTCTTGGAACGAGATACAGAAAAGCTTGACGCGTAGGAAAATCCGGTATTGTGGTAACTTGCATTTTGCTGTTTAGAGCGTAAAAAGCCTTCCTTTGAGAAAGGAATTTGAACTGAACTTAGAAATTATTTCCTCGCGATCTAAATAATTAGAGGATCACTTTGTTCATTTAAGCTTAAAAACAACCAAGTTCATTTTCAGCTAAAATTAAAATCAAATATCATACACAAATCGAAGAATTTATAAAAAAAATATTCAATCATTTCTGAAGCACTGATTAAATAATCACTATTTATTCCCCATATTAATTTTATTTAACCATTTACTGAAGGGAGATTCAGTGAAGCATACAATTCGCGTTAATCAAATCTGAAAACAAAAGAAGGATAGCCGGTTTTTTGCGATAACTCGCTTAGAATGTTCCGACCAAATTCATAAAAATCTACAAAAAAAGAAGTTTTCCTCCAAATAAGGGTCATTTATTGTGCGTGGTGCGATGAGAGAACTGAATAAACGTGTAGAAACTTCGAAAACAAGCGTAACCGTCGACAGTTGTCTTCCATTTTTTGTAAGTAAATTACACAAGCATTTTAAATTTGATCAAGAAAATTTTATTGCCAAAAAAAGGCGAAATAAAGCTTCCAAAATCAAAAAACTCAAACCGGCGTCTCTCGTCGCTGGGACCACTTAAAAATCAATCAGGTAGTTCCAATCACAACTAAATGGACTTTAGTATGATATATCACTCGACTCATTTCGATAAGTATTTGTGGTACCTCATTCAATGGTCGGAGCAAGCAGGATAGGCGGTTGATGTTTGAGCAACAAATAATTTTCCGACCAAATTGATAAAAGAGAATACCTAAAATGAAAACAAAAAACTTCCGTTTTGCAATTTTTAAAAAATTCACTGTTAATTTTTATTCACGGCAAATGAACAAACAAAGCAAGAATTATCACTAAGTATAGTTAAAATAAAAACAATTGGGAGGACTTGGACTCTCACCAAATTTCAGTTTTTCAAATTTCGCGTAGTCAAATATATAATCAAAACATATATGACATCAATTTACAACAAGTCAAGTGTTTAAAAAGCTACCGAGTGGATCAGTTAACAAAATCATTTTTCTTTCGGCTTAAGCATCCTCTTTTCAATTGAACAAGCAACCAAAAAGAACGTAGGCCCAATGCAAAATTGCTGTGCCTTTTCACTCGTTGCATGGTTACGTGGGCTAATTTATGTTTACGTAGCATCTATTTAAATTATTGCAAACCGCGTGTTACATCGTGTTGCTTTCATTCAATGAGCGTGCCAATTGGTTCAGGAAATTTGGTGAATTGCGACCAGCTCCTTTAATTTGTCTTGACTATACAACCAGTTGTTCCTCCTTTAATATCTTTTTCGAGGTTTTTGGTTGTTGCTGTTGTAGTTACACTAATTTCGGTTTCGAATTTCAAATTGAATTGGGAGATCGATTCTATTTGAGCGATAGATAGTTAAGGATTCTTCGTTTGTCGTCTTGTATAATCCATCACTGCATACTAGCGGCAAAACAGACGTAGAAGGGGAACCATCTTTCCCAGTGATAGGGTCTTTGTGCTGGTGTCGGTGCCTCTTCTTCTGTATAGCACACTCAAGATGGAGGTTTGGTTGTCATTAAGGATGCCCGTTCTAGGGGCCAAGTTTTTCGGCGTGCGGAGAACCGAGCAGCTTCTTCGGGATTTTAAACGCCAATCGTGGTGGCTATCGCCGACCGTTACAACGTGGCGGCTAAGGGTTTGGCAGAGGAACTAATCGTGGCGGCGGCGGAGCGGACCGCAAGTGTTTTAACTGTGATCAGAGCGGTTTTAGACCGGAATATATTGCTAAGTTGCCAGCACGGAATGCTACGTGTAATTTTTGCCGGAAAAGCGGACATTATGAACGTACGTGCCGGGATCATAGAGCAGCAGGAAGGGGATGTGTGGGCTTAATTCACGAAGATGGCACCGAGGGAGAGCTTATTCCACACGATCCGGAGGAAAACGCATCGAACTATGGAAGTTCCGTCGGATGGGTAACCGACTCAAATGCGGTGGCACATGGGTAGCATTCAGATAGGTCAACGGATTACGTCGTCACGTCAATCAGGCGGAAACAGGAGGAGGAATTGGAAGTCGCGGGGCAAAACTGGCGGTAGAAATCAACGGTCATTCGACCTAAGCCTGGATCGACAGCGGATCACCAATTTCTATTTTCACTGTAGAACTAAAACGCACCTAAGCAACACGTAATGTGCAGCTGCGGCAGTTACATCCAAAGGATGACCAGTCCCGAGATTCTGGAAATAATCCGCTGAAACTTATGGGGAAGATGGTTGTTACACTTCAATCGAACGGATGGACAACGTGCGCGACCATCAATGTGATCGGAGGTTGTCGACTATCCATCATTGGTCTGGATTTGATGCAGGAGCTGGGGTTGATGTTGGTCCAAGCGCCAGCGGGGCAAGGCGTGCACAATATCCAGAAGCAAGTCGATGCCGCTGAGCAAGGAGAGGACCTCGACGATTGGCAGAATCACTTCAGTAAGCAATTCCATAATCTTTTTCACAAGGTAGGGCGCATTCGTAACTATAAAGTCCAAGCAGAGTTCTTCAAGAACCTGTTGCCGATTCAACAAAAGGGCAGAAGAGTGCCCATTACATTGCAAGAGAAAGTAGATAACGAGATTGATAAACTACTGGTACAATGGCATATCCAAAAGTTAGAAGAATGCTCAGATAAATACTTCGTTTCTCCTATCGTCATAACCGTGAAAAAGGATGGGTCGGTAAAGTTTGCATCAGAATCAAGATAATTGAACAAGCAAGTTCATAAAAATAAATATCAGATACCGAATATTAAGGAGCTGATGGATATTGTGGGACAAACAATAAGTGAACTAAAACAAGGGTACGTTTTTTACAACAATGGATCTGACGTATGCATACGGGCAATTACCCTTGAATGAAAGTACTAGCCAACACTGCAATTTTTCATTAGTATGAGGTCGCTCTACAGGAACGTACCGGTTTAAAACGGGATTTTACGGTTTAACAACAATGCCGGCGGAATTCCAACGGGTCATGGACGCAATTCTTTCTGAATTTCCATGTGCGCACGCATTTATTGATAACATTCTGGTTGTATCAAAATGTTCCAAAATTGAACACATTGCTTTAGTGGAGAAAATTTGGAAGAAACTTATTAAAGAAAAAATGGCGCTTAAGTTGGAAAAATGTAAATTCGCGAGAAATGAATGCGAATGGCTGGGCCATCGGATCCCGAATTCTGGTATTACAGCATTGGTGCGGAAAACGAATCTTATTGATAATTTAGTTTCCCCTAAGTCGTTATCACAACTCAAGTCATTCATGGGTTCGATTCATAGTCTTCATAAATACCTACCGGCACTCGCGGAATATTCAGCGCCATTGCGGCCGCTCCTAAGCAAGAAAAATGAATTTGTGTGGACGAACGAATGTCAGCTAGCGTTCGAGACGCTAAAGAAACAAGTCGCAAATATTGTAGAATTAAAACACTTCGACGTGCATAAAGATATCCGCATTGTGTGCGATGCGAGCCATAATGGCTTAAGGGCGGTCCTGGAACAGCTCGGATCCGAAGGATGGCGGCCGATTTCATTCGCTTCCCGATTTTTAAATGCGGCGGAAAAGGAGTATTCCACTAATGAATTGTAAATGTTGGCAGTCGTCTGGCGCTCGGAATAATTTAGGAACTACATTTTTGGTAAACAATTTACTGTTGTAACAGATCATAAAGCCCTTGTAACTTTGTTAAATGGAAATTAAAGAAAATAAAACTATTTCTAGCCGTCTGACTCGTTGGATTGATAGAATTATTCCTTTTGCTTTTAAAATTGAACTCATGCCCGGGGCCAAAATTGGACTGGCCGATTATTTATCACGGTTGAGCCTTTATGATAATACGTTCACGGTAGCAAAGTTAAGATCGATTAACAATTCCTTCGGTTATCAAGTGCAGAAAATTACCGGACGGGCAAATAGCAAGTCCAACAAATCAATTGTTTCAGCTAATGAGAGTAAAATAGGAAAGAATAATCGACAACTTCCACCGGATGAGGGCGGAAAATCTTGCGATCGTTCAACATCCAATCAGAAAGTAGCTATTTGCATAATAGAGTGCAATGACCGCGAAGGCGCGAAAATAGTCAAATCGATTACTTATTGTCAATTGCGTGAGTCTGAATTTAACTCCATTCTTCAACTCCCAAAACAACAAATTCCAAATGGCGAGCATAAACTTGAAAAAACTAAATAAACTTGTTACGATACCCAGAAATTACCAGCGTCAGCAGTAGTGAGGTGGAAGTGGTGGACGCGAGATTGGAGGCGGTGACGACAGGAGTCAGAGAAGTTAAGTGCATCACAGATATTTCTATTCCATCGGCATTTGGGTGGAGTTGTTTCCAGCGCCGTACCCGGCAAATGATGTTATGTCAGTGATACCACGGGATTGTAAAATCGTCAGTAAGAGTGACGCATTGCCTGAGCTGTTTAACCTGAAGTTAGTGAAGCTAATTACAAAGGAGACCCTCAAATGCGAGCAGTCAAGGAATTAGTAGAAGCCAAGGACCCAGAAATCGAGAAAAAGATCCGCGCAATGGTTGGGTACTTAGGGCAACATACCCACAATTTTCATGTTCGCGAGAACTGCCTCTGGATGGACGAACGAGTCGTCATCCCGATACCTCTACGAAAAGCGGTGGTAAACCGGATTCACTGTTTCCACTATGGCAGGGCGAATATGTTTGATGCGGCGAGGGACGTGTGGTTCCCTTATATCCATCGGAGTTTGGTTGCCGCCGCCGATGACTGCAAAGAATGCACTGAAGCAGGTGAAAGTCTTTAACCAATATGCGGCAAAGGTGACATTGGAAAGATTTACGAACCTAGGGAGCCAAACGAATGCCTCCAATTAGACTTTTGGGGTCCGGTTAAGTATCTAAATGAGTCGGATAAATATGTTCTTGTGGCGGTTAACCGTTTTTCACGGTGGCCACGGTGGCCATCGGCGATGATTGGGGGAAATAAAAGGAGTGATAAAGTTCTAAAATTTATGAAACACTATATATCTCATCATGGAATGCCAAGAAAAATTTTTATGGATCAAGTTTCTAGTTTTACGTCCACGTCTGTAAAGTCATTTTGTAATTCCAAAGGAATAAAAATAGTCTACTCTCCTGTAAATGATCATCGAGCCACCGGGTGCGTAGAACGTACAATTGGTAGTCTGAAAAATTTTGTCTTAACCTATGCGAAAGAAAAAAAATCACGGAAATCTTGAGTCTATGGTAGAACGCGCGCTTAGTGCTCTTAGATTTGCACCTAATGCTACACTAAAAATCACGTCTTTCGAAGCACATCACGGCCGGGAGGCAAATACGGTTCTCCGAAACCTTACGAAAAAACCGTCGTTATATAATCTCAACTGGGAAAAAGTGCTGAGACAAAAGTCTGCACGTTTAGATTCCAAGGACCCGTGCGCGAGTAACTTGCCCCATCCGAGAGTGACCAATTGGAGCGAGAGGTCAGATGCGGAGTACGATGTTGAGTATATCATCCATCCCAGAAAGCTCGCTGAGGATCAGTTGGTGGCCATTGCTGATAATGCTCTGGCGCCGAGTGATAAGAAGAAGCACGGTACTCCGAGGGCACGCAGAAACGGGAATCGGAAAATCTGACGCCTAGACTTCCCAGCAAACGGACGGAACTTTTTTTCCAACGGAAAAGACCGCAATCAATGGTATAAACTATTAAAACAAAAAGTGATTAAAGAATCTAAACACGTTAACACTAGAAAATGGGTCTCTTCTTAGAAAAAGTGGAGTCGCACAAAAAGTCAGTGAACCGGCACCGGAATCGCCAAATCAATTTTTACCCAAGCCTCCGACAATGATCGACGTTAAAAGACGGGTGGAACAGAAAAAGGCAGAAGCGAAAAAGGTTTACGAGGGCGGCACGAAAAATGTACGGGCATAAACGCGACAGAGGTCGTAAAACTGAGATGACGACAATGAATCGGATTCTGATTCTGAATATGAGCCACTCCGGGCAACAAGGGAACTGCAGTGGGAGCACGGAGCGAGCTAGAGGCCGGCCTTAGTCATAGGGGTGTGTCGAGCCCACCAATACCAACCACGAAAACGCCAATCGGAACGAAATCATCGGACGAAGAACATTCAAATGCTGAGCGGGCGGAGACGGTCGATATTGGAAAAGCGAACAGTGTGCCTAACGTAGGTGGTGATGTGGCGGCGAGCAAAATTTCAAAGAAAATGGCGGAGCGTGCAAAGAAGCAAAGATTGGTGTCATATTCGAGCCAGGAATCGCAGGATTCGGACGGAGTGGGATCTCGAAAAACTTCAAGAAAGCGAACGGCGGTGACAAAACTTGGGGGAGTCATGATTGACAGTATTTTTAAAGAGGCGAAGCAAGGGGGAAGGAGAGAAGGAACGGGACACAAACTAAGAGGGTGACATCCAGTGGATAGTGTTATAAAACTGTTAAAAGAAAACTTTGTATGTATGTCCAGGGAGAGGGCGGACCGCGGGTCTAAAACTCAAACTTAGTTCTTGTTGCGTAATTTTAAATAACAATTTAAAATTAGTCAAGTTGAGGGAATGTCATATATATATATATACATTTATTGTTTATATTGTTTATTGAATTTGTTTTCTGGCGCCACCGGTGCTGTCCGAGACCTTAGTGCTAATTGATTAAATACCTGTCAGCTGACGTTGTGTGTGCACGTTATCCAAAACAGTTGAAGTACTGAGAGCTTACGGAATAAGTTGAAGACTTATTGTTAAGAAATTTCTTTTATTGATTCGCAATTTTCTCACCGGGGAACAAATTGAACATCTACCTACAAAAAAACAGAAAGATAACATTGACAACCATGAAAGGGAGTGAATCGTTTCTAGCCACATAGTTAGACCTCCGAACAACGGAAGCTCTTTGGAACATTTGCAGAGGCCTACGTCTATTTTTCTGATGAAGAATTCAAAACGCCAGTTCAGTCGCAGCTAGCGCTAGAGGTTCCAAATCGCCTGAGTTTTACCTTCTTTTAGGTTACTTTTGATCTAAAAAAAATTAGTTAACTTGGTTGAACTAGCTTTAGTGATTTTCTCTTCTAATGTAAATGTTGTTTCTATTATTTTTCCTGGAGCTTAGCTTTTATTTTTGAGCTTAAACTTCAGTAAAGGCTATCCATGCTTGGACAAACGAATGAGCTACGAGCTGATGCGATTTGGCTTTTTGAACTAATTTTTCAATTTAATCTGAAAACTAAAAAAATTCAGACTAGCTCTTCTCCCTAGAAAACTTATTCGATTTCTTTTAGAATCCAAATTACGACCCTAAAGCTCTTTAATATGATACCACACATGACTTCCTATGAGCTTTCCTTGAAGTAGTCAAAACAAGCTGGAAAACAAACCCCATCCAAAGTTCCTTTCCACTTTTCCAGTGGTTGGAACAGTAGAATTATCGCGAGCATTTTTCTTGAATTTATAATCAAAAAACAATTAAATCATTGATTTCCAACCAAAAATTAATTATCTGTTCAATCTACCGGTTAAGTTTGCCTCCAAATTAAAAAAATGAATCTCCCTGCTCAATCAAGAACCCGAGGGTTGCCGATATCTCTTATGAAACAATTCAATTTATATTTTGAGTCCCTTTTCTCAAAACAGAAAATCAGATCAAGCGTACGAAAAAAAATCACATAACTACAATCGTTCCATATTCAATTGCTTCAACTTTTTAGAAAAACTTATCGGCAACCCCAACAAAAATCAAATCCAATCAGTAATCATTCAACAAGGTCCCTCATTCAATGAGGACGAAGGCAAGGTTGTGGACGTAGATTGTCCATCCGCATTCACCTGCGAGGAATTCTGCTCCTGCTGAGAGCTGCTCTGCTGCATGTAATCTGACCTCGATTTCGAGGCATCGACATCCGCTGATTGATATGTACTCTGATAGTTATAATTCTGATTCATATTTCCAGGCGCCAACAGAGACGAACCGAAACTCGACAACGCGTCCGAGAAGTCCGATACAGTTGCCGAGTTCTGCACTACCGGGATCATCGAGGTCGTCGGATCGCTGGCCTGGATATGCGGATAAGTCGCCGCTTTTTCCTCACTCGTAAGCCGGTGATTATCTCCGCCTCTCATTACGCTAGATTGCAAAGATTGGTCGTCTTTTATATTAACTGCAGTTATATCAGCCTGCGAATCTAACCATTGGTTGTTATCAGCCAACACCGGCGAACTTTCTTGCTTCATACAAACTGTCAGGACCTTTGCCAGTCTGTTCAAAAGCGGATCAATATTATACGGAATGAGCTTTTTTCCACTCATTTTAGTCAACTTATGTTGCAACTCGTCAAAATGAGATGCAAAGCAGCACGATTGGTTCGTCAATTGCACCAAATTGCAATTCTGTTCATGGTACTTCAGAAACTTAATGAAGTATTCTAAGAATCTTGTCTCGTCCGAAATTAAATAGTCGATTATCAATTGGGTCGACCAGCTTGTACTTATCAAGAACTCTTTATGTGCTTCATTCGGGTGCATAGGCAAAAGTTTTCCAATGGTAGGCGTGAACACTTTCGTCGCTATGAAGGTCAAATTTCTCAGCAGGAACTCAATTAAACAGGCGTCATTATCTGTCAGCATTTTCATCAATGCCTCGTTATTTAATTTTTCCAGTCTCGTGTTTACAAGAGCCAGATAATCTTCGCCACAACTCGGCAAGCTGCAGCATGCGTATGAGCACGACACGAACACGCAGAACAACTCGGGGTTTATTTCAATCTCGTGGTTCGGTTTGTCGTCGTAGGAGACAAATGTGTACTTTGATTTCCACGTGAACTTCCGAATGATTAGCTTGAACAATTCACAGCACCCTCCTAAAACAGAATTATAAAAAAGTGAAGGATTTGTATCAGACATTTCTGGCAAATACAATTTCGAGAATTTTGCTGAAGTATAAATTTTATTTGAATTTATTACGGAGCACGTAACCTGTCACGTGTGAATTCAGAGACGAAAGTTTCAGAGACGAAAGTTTCATTGACGAAAGTTCTGGAAAAAGCCCTCCACCCGATTGTCATACCCAAAACAAAACAAAAATAGCACGAAGGCGAAGTTAAGATAAGGAGACGGAAAAACTTATGGCAAAAGAAAAGCTGAAATTGACATTTTTTGAAAAACGCAAATAAATTTAAAAAAAAACTGTTGAGAAACCCAACTAATACCATTAAATAAGCTTTTATTAGTTTTTTTAGGCGAAAACAAAAAATCCCATAAAAAATTGCTGTCAAAAATGTTGAGCGATTCAGTTTATAATGAATCTCTACACAACAACCGATCAAGTATATTTTGAATTAATCATATCAATTTGTGCACTTCAAAAGACACAAAAAAAAGTTGATTCAGCCGTCAAAAACATTAAAGGAAATTACATGAGTAAACCAACACACTTGCAACTACAATTAAAATCATCGTATCAGGAGGAAAACTAACATTTGACATGTGAAAACTAAGCTGACAATGCAAAAGAAAAAAAACGACAAAAACCTATATTCCAGGAAAAAAAATAAAAATTCATTTATACTGAAAAAACACAGGGTAGGTGTGCGACTAGGACCAGTCTTTACGGTGCAAAAGCAACCACCTCACTTCTAGATCAGGTGAGCAGGGGCTTGGAAGTTCTAACGGTTCAACCATATAGCAAGTTCAATCTTTTATTTATTTATAAGTCGTGCTGGACGCCATCATTAAAATTTCACCACTCGTAACGTTTTATCTTTTATATTTCAAAAAAACTTGCCTGGATCCAAAAAGATTGAGTTTTTTACGGTTTTTGGTTGTATCCACTAGGCCACTGTTGCATTAGTGACCTGAATACTCCGCGATACTAAACAAGAGTATATCTTAGTATGTTATTGTTCTATATTATTTATTTATAGTATTTGAAGTATTTGACAAAAGCTACCAGTTCGAGATTCGATACTATGTTCCAAAAAGCAGAGAGGGTATTCGAACTGATTTAATCTCTACGGTCAAAAAATTAAAGACTAAAGATCAAAATAATCAATGCTAGAACGCAACTATAACTTGAGGGCTAGAAACGAAGGTCAAAATTGATTAAAACCGGTCCCGTAACGGCCATTTGGGCTTGAGATCTGTCATAACACGATCATTATTCATACCAATAGATATCTACACAGTCGATATTAACAAGAGTACATAAACACTATCATTTGAAATGTCTGTGTTGGGTACAATTAGCATAGTTTAAGATAAATTTCGGAAAATTTTTGTTGGTTCACAGAGTCAACAGCCTCAAATTACTCGAAAAGGGGGCTTGAAAATCAAATCCGGGATGCAGATGATTCCATCACTAACAACACTGATATGGATGCAAGCTTGTAAACTAGCGCTGAAGCCATTTGATTGGTCACAATGTCTACTGGTGTTCACACTTATCGATCACGACTTCAAGGTCAAGCCAATCATTTTTCAAAAATGGATGTAAAATTTTCGCGAACCCCTTTTGTGTCAAACTAACTCAACGAAAGTTATCATGATTTGGAACTTCAAACTGAATTATGACTGAGAACTCCTCTCTGATTTTCTTTAATTAGCTTAAACCTCAATTTCAAGCTAAAACAAATTGAAACTTCGAGCAGATACTTTTTTATTTGCTTTTTGAACTTTCAGTTCAGCACTTGCTATCAATATTTAGAATTATGAAACGAATCATGAGCTGATAGGATTTTGAGCTTGAGCATTCACAAAAAGTATCAGCACTTGAAATTTTGAATTGTGAGCATACGCTAGCAGACTTTTTTTGAGCTTGAATATAAGAGAGAGCTCGTTGAACCATGAGCTCTGATATCACAGTATCTGCTTTCTTTTTGAATTTCATTTCAAGGTAAGCCATTAAGAATTATCGACATAAATTCAGTGTCATTTTCTTATTTTGTTTTTGGAACTTCGAATTCATCAACGGCTATCATGATTTAAATATTTGAATGAAATCATAAGCTATTGTCACCTTTTTGTCTTTCTTTTTGATCTTAAACTTCAATGAAGGCTATCAGGGCCTAGAGCTTTGAAATGATTATTGTAATGAGAATTTGTTCGGGCTTCTTTAAATGCTAATCGCAGAGCAAAAGCTGCCATGACCTGAACGTTTGAATCAAGTCATCCGATTTTTCTACCTCTTTGATTCGCCGCCACTAGAGCTTACCGTGAAGTCGATCTTGTCTGTAGGGAACTTCGTTGCTACTTTCGTCGACAACTTTTAGATGGGACAGTGAAGTCCCTAATTAAATAGTACACATCATCTTAATCATTCCTAACTAATCAAACACTCATGAATGCCCGACGAGCTGTTTTTTTAATAAACAGCTCGTTGGGCATTTGACTGAAAAGAATGCAGACGTTTCCAGGCATCGGAACCCTAAGATTAAACAAAACTGAAGTTTTTTGGACGAATTTAATTCACATGACTTTTTACTGCCACGGTGTATTGTGAGCAAACAGCAAAGGAGTGCTATGTGCTTGATGCCCCCACTTGGTAGACCTAGAAGAATTGAACAGGTGCGGACATTTACCTGATATGACTTGCGCAAGGTCCGGCTTTGTTTGCGACACCTTGATCAGTTTAGTAACAGCCCTTGCAACCAATATATTATAATCTATATCCTGGCCCAGATTCTTCACAAATCGGGGGCAGAAATGCACCAGCCAGGCTGCCACTTTATCCGGCTCATAAGTTAGTAACCGCTTAAACAGCGTTATAATCTGCATCTGAAACAGCAAATCGGCCTCCTTGTGACGTTCCATGTACTTCTCAATCAGGTTGAAATTCTTCTCCAAATATTTGATTATCTCGCCAATGCATCTGTCTATTTTCTTTTTATTCACTCGTAGGACAAATTTCGGATTCGTGAAAAATCGCATATCCTTTCCACATTTTTGCCTTTTCAGGAGATCGCTCACAGCTGGTATCATTATATGGGGCCGGAGAAAAGGTTCCTCAAAAACATCACAAAGCCTCTCAGCACATAACGTAGTGAGGTACATAACAAAGCCTGTGAATATATTCTGCATAGTTTTATCGGTGAAGAAAGTTTTGCCTGAGAAGTCTTTATAAGACATAATGAGCTTGAAGCAGGCATCTTCGAGTGAAATCATTCTTTCTTTCGAGCATATAACTCGTTCTATAAAGGTATGCAGTCCAGATAATACAAAGAGAAACTCCTGGTCTTTGAGTCGTGTGAAGTCTTGAGACACGACCAGTCGTTTGAACAATTTATCCGCGAACTCCATGTCGTATTCTTGTTCTGGGAACTTACTGAACTCCTTTAGGAATTCGATGGCCGAGAAGTTCTCGTCGATCTCTGTCCGTGTTGGTGTGCCTTCTTCTTCATTTGTGACCTTGGACGTAGCGGTCGCCGACTGTGACGACGCCTGGCTGTTACTGGCGTCCATATCATGCAATAAACCTGAAACAACGACATTAACTAAATAAATATTAGTTCCTTGATTATCGAAATATTATCAGGTGCATTTAATTGATTCGTATGCCCCAATCTAAATGGACTGAACAAAAAACGGTAGAAGAAGTGTACATTTCAACTAATTTTTGGTCCAATCGCACAAACTATATGTGGCTTTTTTCCGCGTATAAATGCCATGTAGAACACGATAATCAGGGTTTACTGTCACATTGTTACTAAAAACAAATATAAATCGGGTGAATAAATATCTTAGTGAGATGACAGTGGCCGCATTAGATTCAGTTTTTTCCTGACTAAGAGCCCATCATGAACTAAGTGATGACTCTTAAGGTCGTGATGATAATTTTATTCAGGAAAAGTTAAAATTTGTTCACGCTCAAATTTGATTTTTCGTGATTTGTTTTCCTTTTTAATTTCAGTTCATTTACCTTCTAGCGTCTAGTTTCAACAACTGAATATGTGCATGATTGGTTAAGTTCTATCTCAAATTTAGGAAGCTATCGAAAAAAAAAATTGCGTTTTTTTTCTACTTGCAAAGCGACAAGCTACCTTTAATAAAATCAGTTACGCTAAAGTAAATGATAAAACTTTTGTTTAACTTTTTGGACTTGAATCCCGCTAGCAGCTCGCAATCCATAAGTTTCCTTCATGCTCCCCAATTACAATCTTAAAAAACTTTCTTGCTAATCTAAAATTTAATTAAATAGAGATATCTCATAAATATACCATGCAAGAGTACACTACACGATATAACTTCTTCAGTTTATCTAAATATTTCATAATTAAACGATTGGGTGACGGCCTGATTCCAAGACTGAAGAAATCAGTTTCCCAACTGAGTCCGAATGTAGATCGTTGAACTCTTTCGCAAGAGTGGGGAATATTCCGTAGTTTGCGTTGGCCTGGGCCAGAAAACTCATATAGTAGACTCCTATTACAAAGTGAGCTATTTGCTGTTCCCCGTGTAATGCATATACTGCCTTAGCTTCTCCGACTGGAAGTTTTGTCACCTGGTCCAAAGCCAACGAGTATGAAGATAGGAAGTCGGGTGTAAGAACTGAAACAAAAACATTTAGAGGTTATGCCTACAACGAAAGAAACAAAACTGCGCGTTTTTCTCACTTCAGATAAATACAAAAAAAAATCAACACACGACTCGAGGCTCCGCGTAACTTACAAACATCACATACATTGAATGGTAAACTAGTGGAACACATGGGACGATAGCCGAAAAAATTTGACAATCTATCAAAATATTTATATTTTAATAAATGATGTCAAGGAAAGTATGTCGAGAAAGACAATGAACATTAAAAATTATGAATAAGCATCTAATTTAGAATCAACATTTTATCACGAAAAAATACTGTTGCGCTTCAAAAATTATTTTAAAGCGCAACAGTATTTTAACATCTAATTGACAATCAACAGTTTATCACAAAATACCGTTGCACTTCAAACGACGCAATCAATCACTATGACACAAGCTGAAACCACTTAAGCCGAATAAACTTTTCAATAGAAAAAATCCACTCTACCCCTCACGTTTTAAAAACTATTATAACATTATCAAAATGCAATGAATTTTTGCATGGTGAACAAACCAACAAGTCTGAACAGAATTGGTCTGCATACTTAACATCGTAAAATCACGCAATTAGCAGTTATAGACGTAAAATAACTATGAAAATGGAAAACCAAAATGGAAGATTTAAAACCAAGATTTAAAAATAGATAAAAAAAACTGGTGATATATGAGAATAAGTGGCAATAGTCTGTCTTTACAACAGAAAAAACTGAAAGTAATAACCGGCACTATAACAATCCAGTCTGGAAAGCGTAAGATAACGTTCAAAAAAATCGTCAAGATGAGCAGTTTACCAGAAATCGATAACACCGCTCAATGCTTTCAATTTTTTTGGCCTGTCCCAGCATCGCTTCGATATTATTTGTATGAACACCAATGATCGGATCCTTGAAATTACTGCTGTGATCTACAGATTAGTGAAGAAAAATTACTGTTCTCGGTCTACATGATGGATCACAAGGTAAACCATCTGCCCAAATTTTTGTTCCAGGCAAAACTCTTGGGCAGATAACCTCTAACGAAGTTTCAGCTCCCCTGTCCTAAACACCTTTCGAACAATCGAGTTTTTCCGGGTCGTACCAGCCGAAAAACCATTTCTGTTCTGCCGTTCGATTGCAGTTCGCCTATTTGGCTACGCAGTTCGGCTACGACAGATTCGTCTATTTGAATTCTTTTACTGGTCCTCGAAATTTGCATTCACGAACTTCGGAACTTTGAGGGAACCACAAGCAAATTTCTCGAAAACATAAAAACCCTATGCCGATCTTGGATTAACCTCTAGTACAGTGGCAACTTAGCAATTTTATGGGAAAGAAAAATAGCTAAGTTACAATAGCTCGAATCGATAAATTCTAATTTTCAAAAACGGAATTTTTTAAGGACATGCCATTCCGACAACGGCAGTTGGTGAGCCGCCAAGCACACTTATCTATTATTTTCTTGCTCTTAAAACGCATTATGGACCTCCATGTGGAAGGCGACAATTACGGGGTCTTTTTATTACTTTTTTGCAATAGAAAAAATCCTCTCATGTCATTTTTTTATTTACAAAGTCGAAGAACTGCATCGCTAACAACTGCTATATCTGTGGTGCGCTTAACTGCTCCCTGTTCAATTAGCAGACTAAACGGTTTAGTGATTAAAACATTTGACTGAAGGGCCATCGGGTTCGAATCTCTATGGGGGCAAGCTTTTTTTTGCTCTGCGCAGTTAAATCTACCACTTATCTAAATGTATCACCAAGAAACTTCTAGTTAAAACAGATGCAAGCTTAGCTTTGAAAACATCAGCGAGAAAAGGACAAAAACCAGCTCTATAAAATGCATTAAGAAAAGGTAGAAATAAGCCTCGAATTAGCGAAAATTCGGCTGTCTGAGATTTGTACCTGCTACCTAGAGATTAAGAGTCGCATACACAAACAACTCAGCCACAGAAGCTTCATAGGTACCAAGCACTAGCCACAAATAAAGCAGAGAACAGATGCTATGCAATTTCCAACGCTACAGAGAATTTCCACATGAGTGAACACTTTTAATGAACACTTTTATTTGCGAGTTAGGTTAGAAAAAAAAAGAAGGTTCGTAATAATACACTCAGCTAATCGCGATTGTAAAAATGCTGAGATGATAAAAAAACTGTAGCTGACGACAGACTATTTTTGCTGTGAGCCGAAGGCGACGAGTCCTGTTACTTAAGGTTTCAACGACTTGGCAGACCCTTGTTAATTGCTTGGGAAAATATTCCAAAACAGTCAGAAAGAAACAATTTAAACAAAAAATTCTATATATGCAATGCTCATACATTATAGTCACTGCATCAGCACAAAAACTGACAAAAACAAACAACCGATTAAACCCATTCGAAAACCAAACCGACCGATCTTCAGTAGGCATCCAAAAAGCCAAAACATCAGCGAACAAATAATCGTAAAATTCTATCGAAATACATATGATAGTAAAAACCAAAAATATAACACTTAGGTGAATATATCTAGATCGTTGATCGTATCAAACTCGATCGTATCCAAAAAAAATTACTTTAGAGAGAAAGAAGGAAAACACTTTATTGTTGCATCAACTTTTGTAGTTACAAAACTGATTGTGGATGGAACAAGTTTACATTATTATTAAATAGGTGAATTAAAAAAAACGTTTCATCAGTCACTGAATATATAGGATTATATAAGACTCTCCTAAAGAAGTAAGGGGCAAGTTGGGTGTTGGTAGAGTCTATCCTTTAAATGTATTAGAATTTATCCTCTAGTATGCACTTTTTAATTAATCTGTTTGATAGTGTACAGGTTTTCTTCATGGAGATGATTTTCTGAATTACAAAGTTGAATTTTTTTTATTAATGTAAACAGGAAGGACCTACGAAAAAATCGGTTTTACACAATCCTGGTAGAAGAATTGAGCCGGTGCGATGATTCAAGCCGAAATCAGAATTCGGAAATTGCAGGCAGTTGTTAAATGCTCTAACTCTGTTTTGGTTTAATTTGTGTTGATCTGTATTTGATTATATCTCTAGCAGTGGGAATTGTGTTTGTCGCTCACATATGTGACAGAATTTCTTGTTTATGTTGATGACAATTCGTAAACCCCATTTTATTTGCTTTTCCAGCTTGTCTAGATTTTCTTCATTACGATTATTCAAAAGCATTCTGACTCGAGGAATATTTCATCTCTTATGCATTTGATTGTTTGGATTGCACTAGCCATCTTCTGTAACACTTTGTTAATTGCTTTTTTAAAAGTTAAACATGCATCTATGTTAACACCGAGAAATTTGATGGATTCAGATATTTTGACTTGGTAATATCCATATAAGAAGGAGACTGGAAATTGTTTTTATAATATAGCAAGTTCAATTTCGATCAGATTTGTGAAAAACGGCAAAAAAAAATCGTTTAATTTCCGATTACAAGGCATTTGCTGTCGCAATTGTTCTTGTCTTCAGTTATTTTAAAGTCTCACTCGTAAATTTTTCCACCAGATTACTACTTTATACTACGCAAAGTCAATCGCGTTAGTACGGAAAATACTTAATTGGCCAAAGTCTACTATTTAATGTCGTGAGTGGACGAGTTAGGATCGCGTTGAGGCGATAACCGGCTTTGGTGTTCGTATAGAGTTCTACGCTCTATAAGCTCACAACCTCGCTTGATCATAAAACTTATACGACTACGGCAACTATTTAACAACGTACTTGTAGAGCTAGAGTCACTCACTGAAGGATGAGCAACTTTTAAAACTGTTACACCATCCTTATCACTGATGACAATTGCAAGGAGACCGTCTATCCGATCTAGTATTCTTTGAGCAGTCATCTCCAGGTCTGTGAGGTAATTCGAGCTAATGAAGGCCATTATCTGAAAAAGTAGCTCTGACGCATTTTATCACAGAAACACATTACTCATCTAACAGAAATATTTCTCGGTACCAAAACCGTCTAGTGAAAATTAGCTCTTCGATATCTAGAACTGCCAGTACTCAGGTTTGATTGCCACATTCTCGGACATTACCTCATCTTAAATTTCTATTAGAGAAAATCTAGTCAAACCAGAGAAGAATAAATCTACACTAATAGACAAAATTAAGCGCAAATTCAGGACTTTACTCAGTAAGTGTTACATTCGCCCGCAAGATACATATCGACGGAAAATAAAGCTAGGTCCTAAGACGACTGGCCAACGTCTAAACAGAACTCTACATGCTTTTCACCGTCTCTACCAAGCCAGTTCTTTTGGTGGACTTTTCAACATCGGGTCGACAAAAACGTTACTGTTCTCCGGCTTCGACCAGAACGCTCAAATTAACTTAATTACATGCAAAATCAGTGAGCTCATGGCTGGGTCTCAGTATCCCCAGACCACGAGGTCACTCCTAAAAACAGGGCTACTACTATTTATTGAATTAAGATTGTTTTTGCTCAGTAGATAAAAATCATCACCTCCATCGAAGATGGATCAACCCTTTTCCCCAACTCCTAGCTTCTCATCCTGGCAAAATGAATTCGGATGTTAATTAAACTCAATTCAGGACATAATGGGGAAGCTAACAGTTTATGTAAAATGCTATGAGTTTCAGTCCCGACACCCCTCCGGATTCTTGAATCCGGGGAAATAAGACCTCTATTTTCCTACCGGAAGGCTGTCTTCTACCGTTCACCGTTGTTCGCAACGGTCTTGCAACTATTGTAGCGACACAATAGTTGCAACTAGGAACGGTCTCTGCTATTTCTGCTCGTCTCTAATTCCGATTCCAAGTTTTTCCGTTGTTATCGTCGAAACCACTGTTGTTGTTGTTTTGTTTTATTTCGGTTTTCTGCCAAAAAGGTTGTTTCTGACGTTTCTCAGAAATATGACGTCATACTTCGAAAATTTAAAAATTTGAAACACCAGAATATTCTAGCCTTCACAGTTTGACTAATCGTTCCAATAACACTGCTAATCCTTCAAAACTGCTAATTCGGAAGGCTAGCTGCTAAAAAAATTCTGGTCGAACGTCACATAATCCCCGGACAGTCCGGTCAGTGTCCCCATTGAATCTCGCAATGTTCGTAAAATTGGTACAGTGTCATCGAACAGAATTTACAAAATAAATGAAATTATTTTTATCCGAGTCATATCGACTCACTGCAGAATACAAATTGCATCATACTACATCACTATAGCCTTCCAACTTTTTCACTAATCTGCACATTGAGGATATGACCTAAGATATGTGACATTCGACCAGAATAGACGAAAATGCAGATTCGAAATTTTAGCAGCTAGCCTTCCGAATTAGCAGTTTTGAAGGATTAGCAGTGTTATTGGAACGATTAGTCATACTGTGAAGGCTAGAATATTCTGTGTTTCAAGTTTTTAAATTTTCGAAGTATGACGTCATATTTCTGAGAAACGTCAGAAACGACCATTTTGGCAGAAAACCGAAACAAAACACAACAACAACAAGAGTGGTTGCAACGATAACAACGGAAAAACTTAAAATCGAAATTAGAGACGAGCAGAAATAGCAGAGACCGTTCCTAGTTGCAACTATTGTGTCGCTACAATAGTTGCAAGGCCGTTGCGAACAACGGTGAACGGTAGAAGACAGCCTTCCGGAAGGAAAATAGAGGTCTTATTTCCCCGGATTCAAGAATCCGGAGGGGTGTCGGGACTGAAACTCTTAGCATTTTATACAAACGTTTAGCTTCCCTATTATGTCCTGAATTGAATTTAATTAACATCTGAACTCATTTTGCTAGGATGAGAAGCTAGGAGTTGGGGGAAAGGGTTGATCCATCTTCGATGGAGATGATGATTTTTATCTACTGAACAAAAACATTAATAATTCAATAAATCGTATCAGCCCTATTTTTAGGAGTGACCTCGTGGTCTGGGGAAATTGAGACCCAGCCATGAGCTCACTATTTTTGCATGCAATTAAGTTAATTTGAGCGTTCTGGTCGAAGCCGGAAAACAGTAACGTTTTTGTCGACCCAATGTTGAAAAGACCACCAAAAAATGGCTTGGTAGAGACGGTGAAAAGCATGTAGAGCTCTGTTTAGACGTTGGCCAGTCTTCTTAGAACCTAGCTCTATTATCTGTGGATATGTATCTTCCGGGCGAATGTTACATAGATGTTTTTACGGCGCTCCTGGGTGTTATTCCTTTTTAACATCATGACCGGCAGAACCGTTAACGAGCATTCCGCGCCGAGCGGATGCTCACATTAAGGTCCTTAATAGGTCAAAACCGCCGGGGCGGAAGGGTATCTCGGAACGCGGAAGCCTTCCGGATTACCGTGAATAGCTTTTTAACCTAGTTAAGACCGAAAATTCACGAACCAGGAAGGGTGGGGGGATCGGCCATCCCCTCGTTCCCTGAGAGGTTTGTGACCAAAAACACTTAAAGATATATATAAAACCAAACAGAAAGTAGTATAGTACCCAAGAAAAACAAAAAACAAAAAACATATAAAAAACCGAAAAAACCAAAAACAGTAAAAAAAAAAGTAAAAAAAAATCAGTAGAAATCATCCCCCCAGACAAGATGTGATCCGACCCCCCCGTTTGTTGTTGATAGATATATTGTTGTTACAGGCATTTATATCAGTCAGGATTGTTACGATCAGTTTTGCGGCCCGTTTGTGAGGCTTGTACTGTAGGGTTATTTGAGCATTTAGGCACGTTAATGATAAATTGCGCTCAATCCGGAAGGGTCAGCTGATTTGCGCTCAATTCGGAAGAGTCTTGGGAGACGACTGATCCGGCAAGTAGTACAAGGAGCAACAAGAAGGGGCTCAACGACAACAACAATCGACTGTTGGGTATCGTTAAAAAGTTTTGTATCCCTTTTGGTACAAAAATTAAGATAGTAATCTGTGGGGGGCTCGACAGTGCTGCACTGTAGTGACCCTTCACCGAACTGCGAATTTCCGAGCTAAGCAATTAATTCGGATATTGGACAAACCCGGAGTGGTGTAGTATTAGTAATATAATTACTTATATAGCCTATATTAATACTCCTATATCGTTTTTTAGTGAAAAACACAGAAAGCAGACCGGTTTTTAGGGTCAAAATAGCGATATTTTGATCCCCCCACAAATCGCGTTTTCGAGATATCGATAATTTTTGAAACGGAAAAAAAGCGCTAAATTAAGGTGTTACATCGTAACTGCACTACTATAATAGATAGAACCGGTTAAGTTTAATTTGGAAGTGGTTGGAACTATTTTGGAACCAAAAACCGAATTTTCGTGATTTTTGAGAAAACGGAACACTATAAATTCAGAAATGTTTTGAAAATTTTGAGTTAGGACAGTAAAATTAGTTGTTCGGACAACATCCACTAGTGAATCTACAGATTCTAAAATCCGCATCCCGAAAGCCTTCCAGGTTGCAGAGAAATCGCACTTAACGTGTTTGATTTGGTGGATTCAACAATCCGGAGGGGTCCAGGTAGCATAGTTTTTCGCAAATTTTTTCAACTAAAGCGTTTTAGATCGGGTTTTTTGCATTGAACTAGAAGAGTATATGCCTTCGGAGCTCGGATCAATAATTTTTAGGTCGAAAAGAACAGAACTGCGGAAAAAAGTTAGGCGGAACCTATAAGAGAGAAATTTCTTGACTTTAGAAAAAAAAAGACGTTTTGGTTAATAACTTTTGAACGACTGGACAAATCCAGTTGATCTTAATACCATTAGATCAGAAATTAACAGATCTTACTGATAGGAACAAAAGTTTTTCAAAAAACTAAGCGAAAAAAATTTTTGAGATTGTTCTTAGCAAATTCACCAAATCGCGAGGGTAGACCCCTCACGTTTTACAAAATTTTTCTTTTGGAAAGCCCTTACACCACTACCAAAAGGTAATAGCGGTTGAATAAAGTAACTATAGGCTGTTCTAGACGAAAAGGGAAGGCTAAAGGCACAAGAAAACCTTAATTGAGCCGAAGTTAGGCAAGCGATAAGACCCTTTACCGTTAGCGTGAATTGTCAAATAAGAGGCTTAACTTCAATCCGGAAGGGTCTAGGAAAGGATCACATACCCTTCCTAGTTAATTCAAACAGCATAATAGCATCGGAGAACGTATCCGGAGGGGTATAGGTTGGAAATCAAGGAAATCTCCGAAAAGCTACTTTTACAAAACCAGAGGGCTCCCAATCCGGAGGGTCCCAAATTTTTTTCAAAACCGGAGGGGTCCCAATCCGTAGGGGTCTTGTTTTCACAAAACCGGAGGGGTCCCAATCCGGAGGGGTCTTATATTTGCTAACTCAGAGGGGTCCCAATCTGGAGGGGTCTCAATTTTGCCAATCCGGAAGGGTCCTATTTTGCCAATCCGGAGGGGTACTGTTTTTTTGTCAACCCGGAGGGGTATTATTTTATTAAAGGACTTAGGTAGACAGAAGAAAAGAATATAGTGAGAGGTATTAGGTTATTAACAGACAGGCTAGGAATCAGTGACTGCACTGGTAAGTTGCCTTTCAATAAAGACGAGACCAAAACAAAACAGGTCCGAACTCGGATATTCGCGACACTAAGTCTAAACTAAAAAGAGCGTAATTCATTGGTGTGGATTGAAACCCAATACGTTTTTGCGAAAAGTGACTGCCCTGAGGATTTTAGTAGGTCTAGCTCGGGCAGTCCGAAGGCAGATAGGTTACACAGTACTCGGTGGGTGCAATAGACGCCCACTTGAGAAAATTACTGCCTTCAAAGTTTTGTCTGTTTGGTGCAGCACCAAGCAGGGAAAGCTTTTTCTTTAAAATACAAGTTCGACTGTTGTACTGCGACCAACTAAAAGTACAATACACATACGTTTTTCATAGAAATATTCTTATTCATTATGTTTTGATTTTAAATCAACATAATATGTG